TTAAATATTATTAAAGTGGCATAATTCGAGCGTCCTGAAAGCTGCAAAAACGTCGTTATGTTTTAATTTTCCCAGGATTAAACCAAAAATCCTGAGGCGCTTCTGAATGCAAAAAGTTAATTACTTTTCAGTTTTTGCCGGCTCTCATAGGTAGGTAACATACCTAGTTAGGAATAAAATTTTATGCGGATAGTAATTAAGCCGGAAACCGAGTAATTACTCTCCCGACGTGTCGGATTTTTTCTACATAATGCACGCGTAATAATGCGAAAAGTTCCGTAAACATTCCTCTCTAATTAAACGGATTTAGAGCAGTCTTCGGAATATTAGGACGTCGTTGCCCGCCATTAAAACGAAACAATGGAAAATTTTAATTAGAATAGAGCATAATTTCCGGATCGAAATTTACCCAAGATCTTCCACTCGAACGGAGGCCACTCCAGATTCAATTGCAGAGTAACTTCTTCAATATAAAACCGTTCCGGAAATTAATTAGTTTCGTGTTGTTTCTAGTGGTCGACAAAAATCGATTCCCGGCTCAAAGGAACAATGTCCTGTCTTTTTTTTTTCCTTTCAATCGCAAGAATCGTTAATTAAACGCTCTCTCTCTATGCTATTATTGATATTATTGTTATTACTTCTACCGTGTCCTTTGGAACTCGAAAGTACAGCGGCTTATCTGTCGAGAGGAACGGCTGCCATTTAATTACGACGTAATCTCAATTAATTTTGTAATCGAGTCGGTGCCGAAAGGGTGCCGACTCGAGCTCGAACTGATAATTGAAAGGTATATATGAGGAAGTTCACTAGAAACTTAATATGTATTAGACGAATCGCCAAACTCTTAGGGTTTAATCTCCTGAATGAGCTATACAGAATTTTCCTTCATCCGCCTCCGCCAAGATTATCACGGCGCACGGCCTATTCGAGAACGTATTAATATCACGGGGTAATTTCATTTTCGACTATTTTAAGTAATTAAAACGTAGGTGCTTAATGTAATTAATCAGGGTACAATGGATGTTGCTGTCGGAGGATTAATCGCATTAAAATTAAAAATTTTGGTGGATGTTGCTTTCTATTCGATTATAAATAAGTGGAAGGTTTAATATTTTGGTCGATGTACAGTTCTCTACTTAAATTTTGAGTAAATAATAATATGTTGACAATTTTGGAGGCTGTATCTACCAACTAATTTGTGCACACTAAAAAACTTCTTATCTCGAAATTTATTATTTATTATCTCGAAAACTTATCGAGATTTTAAAGCGAAATGTTCATCATTTTATAGAAAAAACAATTCTCTGCAACTTTCAGGGCACCAAAAATTTTCAAAAAACGCTAAACTTCCGAGATATTTCAACTTTTTCGCCACTGTTTTTCATTAAAATTTTTTTATTGTACCTCTTTAAAAAACTTTAATTATCTTGAAAACCAGTAAAGGTAAAGAAATAAAATTTTCATCGTTTTATAGAAAAAACAATTGTCTACAACTTTCAAAGAATCAAAAATGTTTAAAAAATCCCAATTTTCCGAGATATTTCGACCTTTGTGTTATATATACAATTTCCAAAACATAATGCAGTAAATTTAATATTTTGGTGGATGCGCCGGCTCCTCCGCCACAATAAACTTCAAAATTTCGGTGGCTACATCTTACTAATCCCCCTCCAAATTTCCAAAGACAGGAGTGAGTTACCAAAAGTTTCGAAAAAAAAACCGAAGCTCTTGATAGACGAACAGTCGTTTCTAAAGATCCACTTGTCGTTATTAGTTCGAGTAAAGTTAACGAGCCGCTAGACAATGGTACTGGCAAGAAAATTTCGCTCGTGCAAACAATGCACGTCGCGAAAACGAGTCGGACGTGCCGCCACCGCAGCCGTCCAGGTGCTAGTGAGCGAGGTAGACGCCGATGGGGAGCCGCTCTCGAAACGCCAAAGCCAAATCCGGTTAATTAGGAATCGTTCCTAACGAAGGACGGCTGCAAATCAAACGTTATTATGCAGCCCGGCGGGCGTTTCGCCCTTTGTACAGGTGTAAATTCTAGCTCATTGCGTAGAAGTGAAGCGGGCGTTTAGAACCCTTAGAAGAACCGTCGATCGTTGTCGCGGTAGGCGAGTTAAAAATCCCCAAAAGGATCTATCTCTCTGCTCGTTGCTCTCCCATCTTCGGGGACAACAAACGCGCCGAGTAAACAACGCTAAGTTATTGCCCGTAGTTTCTTTCTATTCGGTGCCGTCCGTCCGGTGTAATAGAGCTTTTTATTCCTCTCAGATTTACCTCTGATAGCCGCTTTTATTCACTGGGAGAGTTTTATTTTGGTCTCTGAGCTTGTTAACAACTTTATGACTACGGCTTCGCCTGCTTTAATGGATAATCTCTTTTTGTTTACGTTTATTGCAAAAATTCCGCTTTACTGTGTTAAACTTTAACCTGCTTTTTATTTATAAGCCTAACTATTTTGTTGTATTTTCTGAACGTTGAAATTAATTACCCCTAGAACTCGACTCATCGTTCGAAAAAGGGAAGGAAAAAAAAAGAACGGGGGGAAAAGGAAAAATAAATTACCAAGTCTAGCCGACGACTGGTCAGTTTATGTTAATTTACGATCTCAGTTAAATTGAGCGTTCTGGACGAGGAAGTAAGTGCTGTATTCATTAGGGCATGGGAAAGCCCTCGAGCCATGTGAATGACGTAAATGCACTGTTGGATGAGAAATTTAGATTTCTGGTCCAATTATTCCGACTGTCAGATAATGCACGCGACTTAATTTAATGCGAATTAAGAGAATTGTTTTCCGACTAGATTAAATTCCCCGTCGTAATGACGGATAGAGCAAATGATTGATAGTAGATTTGTTAAAAAATCAATATTCTTGGGGAGTGTAAATAAAAAAAATGTTATTTACTTGACTTACTATAAACTTGCCAAACCTTCTAAAGACATTATAAAACCTTCTAAATACCTTATGAAGCTCTCTTCTGAAGCTCAGAAAACGTCTAAAATCTTCAATAATCATCAACATTCCAAAAACATTATAAAACATTCTATAATACTGAAATGAAACATGAAACTTTCTAGAAACACAATAAAACGTTCTAAAAACTACTTCTATAATCTACCTAAACCTTTAAAAATTGAAATGAATCGTGAAACTTTCTAAAAACATCAAAAAACTTTCTTGGCACTTCGTGAAATCTTCCAATAAAATTTGAAACGTTCTATAATCTACATGAAACTCTCTAAAAAGTTAAAAAAGCTTCTAAAAACCTTATAAAAACTTCTAAAAACTGCACAAAGCTGTCATGAAACATGAAATCTTGTAAATAGATTTTAAAACCGGCAGTCTTCAGAAAGCCCTCTAAAACCTCAATTAACCTTCTAAAAGCATTATAAAACCTTGAAAAACTGAAATGAAACATTCTCGGCACTTCATAAAACGTTTATAATCTACCAGAAACTTTATAAAAAGTTAAGAAACAATCTCACACAATTAATATCAATACAACCCGAAAATTTTCCCGATTTTTTTCTATCCCAGTCTTAATATCCCTCAAAAGTCAATACGAAATGATGGAGTGAGTGTTAGCGAAACTCGAGTAGCATCATTTTTTCTCACTAGTGTGGAAAAAAGAATAAGTGGTACAATTGGTTGCACTTTAGGATAATAAATAATGATTCTTCTACAGTCGGTGCAAAACAAAAATCGAATTAATTACGAAATTTACACTGCTACGATTAAAAACATGACGACGCGAAATTTACAGCACTTAACAAATTCGCTGATAATTAGAGAATTTTTCAATGATTTACGATTCGCTCTAAAGCGTCGAATCGTGCAACAAACCGGTATGTTGCAACAAAAACTTTTCCGGTATTTCATTAAAATAATTCGCGTTGCGGCGAGAATACACCCGTAATAAAGTTGCGTTAGCTAGGAGCCCGCGAGAACCGGCGTGTCAGTCAATTTACCGCGAATTTTCGAATTACGAGGGAAACAAAAGGAGAGGGCGAGAAAAAAACCCATTAATCATCGAATGTAAAATATGACGGGAGTTATTTTTTTTCTGGCGCTTCTCCGGCGCATTTCTACAAGGAGAATATCAATTTCCTTTATTAAATATCATTACTGCTACAAAAGCCCGGATCCCCGGCATTTATCTTGCATGATAACGGACTCCTGGTGCGTCCGCTGTTGGGCTGTTAAGAAAACGATTTTTTTTCCTATACCAGGTTGGCCCGAGGCGATGTGGAATAACAGAAATAACATATTTAGATTACACACTGATTTTACAAGTTAATTTGACAAAATTTCTAAATGATCTTCTAAAGCTTACAGTTCTTAATAGACCTAAAAGCGTCTTAAATGGTTCTAAATAGTCCAAATAGTAACTTTATGAAGTTCTCTACGAACATGTCTACAGGCATAATGAAACCTTCTAAAAAGATCTAAATGATTCTAAAACTATCCCTGAACAATTTAAATTCCCACTTATTTCCATCACTCTTCCTTTTCCGCTATATTACAATGTTTAAACCTACTATCTTTCTCTTACTTGACAGGGTATAATATGATTTTTTGACTGCGAAAATCAACCTGTTGAAACGCTTTACGCAAATGTTTGTTCAACGCGAATAAATAATTAATTAGCGAACAAACGCCTAATTAAATGGCTTTTTTTTAAAGCCGCCTATATATTTTTTTTCCGGCTCTAATTGTACATGCATTCGGAATCCCCAAAGGGAGATTTTCTTTCATTATTTTCCGTCAAAGGCGTATCCATTAGAGGATCTGACCCTTTGACTTTTACCTGCTAAAATCGCTAACAAAGGTCCTTTTAACTCTAATTAATGGAGAGTACGTAATCACGAGGAATAGCTATTTAGACCATATACAAGATAATCGCTTTTTATCGTGTTTTCTTTTATCGCTCTCCGTACATTCCGCGCCAAAAAAAATCGATTCCGATACTTCAATCGGTATACCAGATAGTCCACTTAATTATCCCAAAATATAAACATTTATTAAAATACAAAAAGCTACAATAAATACAAAAATACTTTCAACACAAACACAAATAATATATTGTTAGTGTAAAATAAATATTAATGCACATCACTATAGGTGAAGTGCATTGACATTTGTTTCGCACCGGCTGTAAATTAAATCCTTCTGTATAGGAAAGGAGCAGGAGTGGTCGATACCACAAACGGCACAGCAGTGGATGTAACTAATTTAATATTGTCAATAACCTGTCCGTTTTGATCGGCAAGGACGAAGGACGATGGCGTGGAAACCGGCAGGACGATGCCCTGTTCGGCGTTATTAACTATCCTCGGCGCTATTACATTGTGGTTATAATAGTCCTGCTCGACAGGACTGCCTTGGGTACCGCCTAAAATCGGTATATAACTGCCTACCATATAGTCCCTGGCATTCGTAGTGTAAATTTGCACGTTCAAAGGCAAAGGAAGCTGGAAAAAAGAATAAAAATCCCATTGAAATACAGGGTGAATGCACAGGATGTTAACTAATTAAGACACCATACTTCAGGATGTGAAAAGTTTTTTTCTAAAACTGCAACACCCTGTAGCTCGTAAGAAGGTTTAGGACATATAATAATATAAACTTTTCTTCTTAAAATCATCCAAATATTCACACCCCGAAGTAGGTATCGGCATTCAATTAATTAACACCCTGTACTGAGTTGAATCACTGAAAACTTAAAGGCCATATTGTACATTTTCGTTCCACATAATTGCAATTAAATGTAACATCATCATCACCAGATTAACATGCACATTGCCAGTTACAACCAGGCATTCCATCGAGCTGTGTATACATTATATACAGTGCGTCCGAATTAGATTACCCGACTGCACTCGAATTAATCTAATTCACCTGTTCGGGTGCATTACGAATCTAAAATTCGCGGGATATCCGCAAAGGACGAGGCCGGGCGTCGATTAACGTGTATCGACCAATTACAATCCAATTTACGATAAATTAACCGAACCTGGAAATTCGCGCCGGCGGTAACGCGATCGTCGGTGTATCCTGCAGGACTGGGAGTGACGAGGATGTAGCCGGTTTTCCGGTGATGCAGCTTCACCGAAGGCGCTTCCACCGCGTTCGCTTGCTGCTGCTGCTGCTGCTGCTGCTGCTGCTGCTGTTCCTCGTAGTAGTCCGTTTGGTGATGGTGGTTTCGAGCTGCAGGTAAATGATAAGCTGGTTCTGAAAAAAATATGTTATGGTATATTTACGAGTACACCAGGAGTTGTCAGTTTTTTTTAGGTTCTACAGGAAACCCTCTAAAAAGTTTAGAAAGATTCTAAAAACATTATAAAACCTTCTAAATACATTATGAAGCTCTCTGGAAATACTTTGAAACCTTTTAAAATGATTTTGAAACCTTCTAAAATGATTTTGAAACCTGCAATGTTCAGAAACCGTCTAAAAATTTCAATGAACCTTCCAAAAACATTGTAAAACCTTCTAATACTGAAATGAAACATGAAACTTTCTAGAAACATTCTAAAACTTTCTCGACACCTCATGAAACCTTTTAAAAACATTCTGAAACTTTCTATAATCTACAGAAACCCTCTAAAAAGTTAAGAAACCTTCTAAAAGCATAATAAAACTTTCTAAATACTTTACGAAGCACTCTAGAAACATCTTGAAACCTTTTATAAAGATGTTGAAGCATGCAATCTTAAAGAAACCCTCTCAAAACTTTATGAAGCATTTCATAAGCAATGAATATATTATTTTACTTTAGGTATACACACGTACTCGTATATCATCATATTTTCTAAACATCAAATCAACCCTGTTATCTTCACTTTACTGCACACATACATACAGTCGCCTCTGGCCTTCACCTAAATGTATCACTTCCAGCAGCGCCCACATTCATCAAACTCCTTTTGTTGCATATACGTTGCATCTGTTTCTGCAATTACCTTGATTATTGTTGTTGTCTTCGGTTTGTGTGTACTTCACGTCGGCTTTGTAGCCATCTCGATCGGCCGTGTACGATACGATTTGTAATCTGCCATCGGGTAATTTAACCCGGTATTCCCCGTTAGTGGCAGCGGCGTCCTGGACTTGGGAATGGGAGAAATCGTCGCCGGAATGCCGGTCTAGGACTTTGTAGCTGAAGGCGTAGTTGCGCCGTTGCGGCTGCTGGAAAATAACGAAACCACGCACCGAGTAGTATGCGATGCTCTGTCGACGAATTGCGAAAAGTCGAAGTAACAAAAGTTGCGAAATTTTCCACTTACAATATCCCGAGCAAATGGTACATGATCCCTAGCCAAGTTTTCGGGAGGAAGTTGGAGAACTTTGGCCGCGTGCTGGGCCAGGGCGTGCTCGAGCCGAGGATTAATCTTTTCATCCTGCGAAATAAAAGCAAAACGGGCCGGGTTTGACGAACTGCAATTAATATTTTTCGTTTCGTTTACCTAAAATTCCGGGACAAAAATGTCCGATGAGGGGAGCGGCGCGAGAAGTTCGCGAACTTCGCCGGTACTTAGAGGAACATTAATTAAAACGAAAATCCGCCGCCGTTGCGAAACGAAGAACAACAAACGCCGGACGAATTTTCGTGTATACACCAACACGAATAATTAATTAGAATAGGAACTTTTGTTATACCTCTACCTAATAGTTTTAAAATTAATTTTATTAAGTAACTCGCGACAATAAAATCTTTAGTGCTTTAGAATTTTATCTATACCTTCATCAACGAAAGTAGATCTTTATGAAATTTAGTTTACATTTATAGTTTACATGAGAATCACAAAATGGTCCCCATTTTTTTAATTGTACTCTAACTAATCGCGCGAAAACGTTTGGAAAGCTCTAAATAAATAAATGATGAATAAAATAAATAAATTATTGCATAAAAATTGATTTTACCGGGTGCAGAATTCGAACCAACTAAACTACATATTTGTTTTAATACAATACAGAGTGTCCCGATGAAAAGTAAGCCTTTTAATCAGCTTATAAATTTTAAACGCCTAAAAGATATTTTTGATTGTGTTATAACTTGTGTTAGAATCCCTTTTATTCTATTCACAGTAACCAAAGTTTATTAAATAGAACACACATTGGGATTTTAATACAATATTTCCACCTCTAGTTGCAGCATAGTAGACTTTTTTTTTATTAATTTCAAAGCCTAATTAGTGTACAAAATGAATGCGTGTGGCTCTCACATATGTGAAACGTTATTCGCAACACTTTGTATATAGATCAGCGTAGATTAATCTGTCCTTTCGAAATAATTTGACCAATTTTTGCATCTAATGAATATTCATGGACAGTATGGAAATAACAATTATTTCACATGTGAACTTCATCTAAACCGCGTTATACGCACAAATACAATACAAAGCGAAAATGCAAATGGCTCCCCGCAAAAGTTATGAATATATAAAGCAATAGTAATTAAAACGTTGTCAACTTTCGTCACAAAGACTGGCGAATAACATGGAAAAAAGACATTTTAATGGCCGGCATTCGGAAATTCCTGCATAAAGGCCGCGATTTGTGTTCGGATTATTTTTTTATCCCCGACAGAACCGACTTGAGATACAGTCGGTGCAAAATCGATGCTCGAAATGCTCGTTAAATAAAAAGTTTCGCCCAACAAACCGAGCCGACAAACAAAAAATATAATTAAGCAATTTATAAGTTTAAAAGAAAGATTTCCGCAACACACGGAATTTAATAACACCTCCTTAAAAATAATACAATAATTTCTTACCGAAACATCGTATCTTCCGAATTTCTTCTTCTTGTATTTTTTGGCCACCCTCTGGTAGGGCACTTGTTGGGGTAGCGATTCGATTTTATCGAATTCCGGGGCGCTCTCGTCGTAAGGAAAAACTACAGGGCCGGTCTTGGGGCGCGTTCTGCCGCTTCGGTAGGGATGGGGGTTGAAATGCCGGGGTTCCAAGTGCTGCTCCCTGACTGGTTCTTCCCGCGCTAGCGCCGCTTCGAGCACGTAAAAGCACAAGAATAACTCGAACAACTAAGATTAGGGAGATTAATTTGTGGAAATAGAAACGGAATTTCCTCACCATTTTCCTTAAAATTAATCCGACATGAGCGCGATACACCTCGCACGGTAAGTAACCCGACAACAATGGGGAACTTCGAATGCGTTAAATTATTATTTGCATTGTCTACATAAGAGCAATTACGGTTCCCACTACTTTCGATTTCGTTTTGATGACAATGTCTCAGATTGTGTGTTTTTTTCGTATCAGAATTGCGTCAACGAATTCTGAATGTTTCTATTTTATGGGAAAATTTTATGAAAAATCCCATTGTAGGAGAAGATGTAGATGTGGTGTAATTAATAAACTATAACAAATGTTATTTTGTAACAAAAATAAATGCGTGGACTAGACGCGTTTTCTAAATTAATTACAATGTGTATTGTTGGTGCAAAACAAATATTAATGCTCGTTACTACTGTTGTTATACTTGACAAGGATTGTGACCAACTTTTAGAAATAAATATACAAAATAGATTAAGCTTAATACATGCAGATGCAGAATTTAATTTAATATTAATAAGGGATGCTAGAAAATGTTAAATAGCAGAATTAAATCATCCAAAAAAATATATAGTGTAAATATATATTGTATATATCTATAAAAAATATATTTTGCACCGGCTGTAAGCGGTCACGAACTGAAATTTTGTATTTGTTGAAAAATTGCTAATATCTCGGAATAATCGGAATATTTTTCCTAACGATGAAATAAACTTTTAATTATTCCTAAATAGGTTACGGTTTTTGAGGAAGTAAATGGAATATTAATGTTTGTTAAATAGATAAATTTTCTTTAATTAACCAAATCGTCGGGTACATTAAAAATAAATAAATCCATGCTTTTAAATCATTATTTTTGAAACTTTTATCAAATCGGGCTTGTTTCATCCAATTTCGCAGGAAAAATCCACAATAACAACAAAAACCGTTATACTATAATTAACAATTTTGCATATAAAATACGCTCAATATAATTACCTAATATTATAAAACCAATCGCGTCATAATTGGTGTTATTTACATTAATTTTATACCGTCGAATTCGAGTACTACCAGTTCTCGATCTCGCCTCTCCTCCATCAGCGCGCAAATAAAACAAGAAAAAAAAAATAAAACAAATAATATACCTCTACTACACAGAATTTCTCGAAGCCTTCGCTCCCCCCTCAGGTCTCCGCCACAGCGACCTTGTGGGATTCCGAAAACTTCGGATTTCCTAATCGTTTTGTCGTTCCCCGTCCGATTCCGATTCGAATCGGAACCGTGCGCGCATCATCGTCTCGTTTTGACTTCTACGATCGCACTTTCAACTTTCAATAAGAGAAAACCTCGGGGAAGAATGGACGCGAGGAAAAGCGCCTGAGCGCCATGGGAAAGCGACTCAATAACGTCCTGCTGTTGCCGCTGCTGCTGCTGCTGCCGGTTTTCCTGCGGGCTACCGATTCCTACGAGGACCTCGACGGTGAGTTTTCTTTTTATGTATTTTATTTTTAACGTATATCACGTATATTTCCAACGGTTTGTGATGGTGTCACATAGGTTATCGTCGCACTGAATATAAATAAAACCAGTTTGTTACCATTTATTTCGTAGTGATGTGTTATTTATATAAAATTACTTCAATGTACCCATTTGTTAGTTTGTATGCCTATTGTCGCTAAGTTAGCGGGAGGATCTTGTTGATAGGTGATTGAAAATCAAAAGAAATTATGCTATAAATGAGTTTGCAAAATATCGCTATTATTTTGCAAATTAATTGAGCTAGTAGTATAGAATTGGTTTTATTTTATAGAAAAAATGTTTCTTTGTAATTTTTGAGAAGTCTAAAACTTTCAAAATTTGCTTAGATTTCGAGTTATTTTGATTTTTTTATCTACATATTGATTCTGTTAATTTTAGCGCAATTCGATGATAAATAGCTGTTATCTCGAAAACTAATCGAGATAGAACAACGCTGTTGACTTTATTTTGTAGAAAAAATATTTCTCTGTAATTTTTGGAGCGTCGTAAATTTTCGAAAATCGGTTAATTTTCGAGTTATTTCGATTTTTTTATGGATCATATTGATTTCATTAGTTCTAGTGCAAACCGATAAAAAAACTCAATTACTTGGAGAAACAATCGAGATAGAAACGCCCCGTTTGGTGCAATTTGAAGTAAAAATATCGCTCTACACGTTGCATCTACTTGCACACTGAACATTGCTGTAATTTCGTTCCAGAGGGAAGCTTTTGCGAGAACGACGGTTCACCGGGAATATGCAAGAACGTCAGATCCTGCCCGGTGGCCATCGAGTCCCTGAAACGCCATCGCTCGCACCATTTGAAGCGGTGCATTTTCCACGATTTCGACGAAATCGTCTGTTGCCCCTCTACAAAGGAAAGAGGCACCGACGTCGACGTCGCGGCGCCCGATTATTTCACTGACAGGCCCACCAAACGGCCCGTCACCATCAAAAGACGCTTCCAAGAGGGTAAGATAAAGCCTAAATTATACATAAATAAGCTATATTAGAGGTAGATAACGCACGATCTCATTAACTTCCATTTGCAGCTTGTGATAGAATACAAAACGAAGCTGGCTCGAATATTATATTCCTTATAACTGATGGTGAAGATGCTCTCGATAAAGAATTCCCTCATATGGTAAGCATTTTGAATCTTTCTAATAGTCTCAAATACCCTCAAAGAGTCTTTCTCCATAAGCAATGTAAACTGCTCTACTCTCATCATTTTTTAAAGATTCCTTCAGTCTTAAGAATTCCAACGATTTGAAGACTCAGTTTTCATCTAGTTGATGAAGATGAAGGTGATTCCTCCTCAAACCTTACCTCCCAACCTTCAAAGATATGATTCTCCTCCTCGAGGACCTACTAGGTTACTCATGCAATTGCTGGTTAGTTGATGAAGATGAAGATGATTCCTACTTAAACCCTACAAACCTCTCCCGACCTTCAAAGATATGATTCTCCTCCTCGAGGACCTACTAGGTTACTCATGCAATTGCTGGTTAGTTGATGAAGATGAAGATGATTCCTACTTAAACCCTACAAACCTCTCCCGACCTTCAAAGATATGATTCTCCTCCTCGAGGACCTACTAGGTTACTCATGCAATTGCTGGTTAGTTGATGAAGATGAAGATGATTCCTACTCAAACCTTACAAACCTCTTCCAACCTTCAAGCATTTGATGCTCCTCCTCGAGGACCTACACTAGGTTACTCAGGGAATTGCAATTTCTCGAAAACCCGTCCTTTTCAGGCCGCCCTGGGCTACGAAACGGACAGCGACAGCGCCGTCCAGGACTGGAGCGCCGGCCTGGACTGGAGCTGCGGCGCCTCCATCATCTCCGAGAAGTTCCTGCTGACGGCGGCGCACTGCGTGGCGCGCTCGAAGCCGGTGAAGGCGCGCGTCGGCGTCACCCTCCTCAACGACACCAACCCCGTGGACATCGACATCCGGACGATTCGGTCCTACGAGAACTACGATCCGATGGACAAGCAGGGCGACATCGCGCTGGTCGAGCTGGCCAGCAACATCAATTTCAACAATCGCACCAAGCCGGCCTGCTTGTATTCGGAGAACAAGGACCCGCTGGGGTTGATCGTCACCGGATGGGGGAAGACTTCTATCAGTGAGAGGCCGTCTTAGTGCTAATGATTTTAATGTAACTATATTGATTCTTTTATGTTCGTTTAGATTCCGAAGATGATAGGAGTGTGGTCTTGCAAAAGGCGAAGTTAGTTCCTGTGCCTAGAGCTCAATGTAACGCTACTTATTTTAAAACATCGCTAGGATTAAAGTCGATTCGAGATACTCAGATATGCGCTTGGGGTAATAGAAGCGATGCCTGTTGGGTGGGTATATAACTTCCTATAAAGTCTGTTCGTTATCAAGATTAAATTTGCGGTTGCTGATGTTTTTTAGGGCGATTCCGGCGGGCCGTTGCAAATCAAAGAGAAATCGGGAGCGTATTCCATTGTCGGTGTTGTTTCCTACGGGTCCGGTTGCGGTGGAAAGATTCCTGGTGTTTATACGAGGATTTCTAAATATATAGACTGGATTGAAGATATAGTTTGGCCATATTAATTAATTTATAAGTTTATATATAGACAATTATATTTTTTATCTTACGATTCGTTTTCAATTTATTATTAAAATTCAAAACTCGCGCGTAGTATCGATTTAGAATCGAGAATAGTTTCGATGACAGCAAGTATCGATAAACCTTTTATATTGCCTGCCTCTTGTTGCGCGGTTATTCAGTAACATCAAAATTATGAAATTATACGTTTAGAGTTGATTTATTCACGTAAACTTATTTATATTTAACAAAAAACGACAAAATAGAGTTGAATTTTCGAAGTAATCGCTAAACTAAACGCATTAACCTTGACACAATTTAGTATTTAGTTTCTAGAGGTTGCCGGCATTGCCTACTTTTGAATTTTTGTCGTATTGATCGCTGTCACCGGTCTCACTTTTATTCCATACATGAACGAGTTTGTGAATTTCGCGATAGTTTTTGCCAGTTAAACTCCTCACCATCGGCAGCACGTGTGTTGGAAGAGCGCATTCGGAACAGAACGATGGCCGGGCAAACGATACACGACCGTCTTTTGGCCGCGAGACACAGCATAGCGGGCCAGGGCCTGGCGAAATCCATCTGCAAAGCCACCACCGAGGAAATGCTGGGCCCCAAAAAGAAGCACCTGGACTACCTGATCCATTTCGCCAACGAGCCGAACGTCTCCATACCGCAAATGGCGAATTTGTTGATCGAACGATCACAAAGCACCAGCTGGGTGGTGGTTTTCAAAGCCCTTATCACGACTCACCACATCATGTGCTACGGTAACGAGAGGTTCACGCAATATTTAGCTTCCAGTAATGTATCGTTTCAGCTGTCTAACTTCGTCGATAAGACGGGCGTGCAGAGCGTGGTCGGCGCCCGAACGGGCTACGACATGTCCCCTTTCATACGCCGATACGCAAAGTACCTGAACGAAAAAGCCCTGTCGTACAGATCGGTCGCGTTCGATTTTTGCAAAGTGAAACGAGGCAAGGAAGAGGGAACCCTAAGAACGATGAATACTGAGAATTTGCTGAAAACTCTACCGGTTTTACAGAACCAACTAGACGCCCTGCTCGAATTCGATTGCACGGCCAACGATTTGACCAACGGCGTGATTAACATGTGCTTCATGCTGTTGTTTCGAGACCTCATCAGGCTGTTCGCCTGCTACAACGACGGCGTGATCAATCTGTTAGAAAAGTACTTTGAAATGAACAAGAAACAATGCCGGGAGGCTTTGGATTTGTACAAGAAGTTCCTGATACGCATGGATCGAGTGGCTGAATTCCTGAAGGTAGCCGAGAACATCGGCATCGATAAAGGGGACATTCCCGATCTAACCAGGGCCCCGAACAGCCTACTGGACGCTTTAGAACAACATTTAGCCGCTTTGGAAGGCAACACTCCCACCGCCGTAGCCACTCATAAGACAGTCAAATCGGCCGTTAGCAATTTCGGTTCGGCCGTCGACGATACTTTCAAGCAAGCAGCCGTAGCTGAAGAAGAGGCCGTACTGAACCACTATAGAGCCACCATAGGATCCCCTACGGGCGCCAGCACGAATCCTTTCTTAAGCGACGACAGCGTACCCAAACCGGAACCGATACTAGACCTGTTCTCTAACGATACCGGTAAATTTTTCAACCAATTTCACACTAAATTCGTTCATTATTCGTATTTAACACAGCCGTTTCGGAACCGGTAAAACCCCAGCAAACGTTCAACGCCTTGGACGATCTGCTTTCGTTGGGAGGCAACCCGTTCGCGGACTTCGGAGCTCCGACAACCACCGGTTCGAATACCTTCAACAGTACCACGACCACGGTTGGCGACAACAACATGTGGGGCGGCGTCGTCAGCGCCAGCAACGCGTTCCAGCAACAACAGCAACAGCAACCGATGGTTCAGGCTCAAACGTTTGGCAATGGGAACGATTTTAGCGGATTATTCAACGCCGACGAGCCGTCGGTGTTCGATCCGTTGGGCGACAATAAGAGTAGGATGGTTCCACAGCAACCGGTGGTGGCGCAACCGGTCAAAGCCGCCCCGACTAAGATCCTTACGGGCGATTTGGAGTCGAGTTTGACTTCGTTGGTGGAGAATTTGACCATGGATGCGGGTGAGTGAATGAGTTCATTTACGTGTTTTGATTAGCATAAAATACGTGCGTCATTTTATAAACAATATCAACTACTAGAAAGGTTATTGGTAAAATAAAACAAACAATATTCTGTTACTAAACTACAACCTTGAACCGGTGCGTTTTGTACGCCCATATTCATTTCCTATTCTTGATAAATTCGGATAAAAAGTGTTATCTCTCGGTTAATAGGAAGCAGGGGTTCCCAATGGAATTCGCCGAAAAACCAAGCGAGACCGGCCGTATCTGCGACGGGAAGCGGTTGGCCGAACCAAGGGCAACCGATGCCTTTGGCCGGTTACACGAAGGTGGGCCAGCCGATGCAACCCATGGTGGCTATGCAACCGATGGCCGGCCAATACGCGGTCGTGCAACAGCCCATGATGGGCAGTCCCAAGGTGAACGTGACGGCGCAGAAGCAGGAGGTCACCTTCGATCCGTTCGATGCTCTATAATGTAAAAAAAAAGAAAGTACCGTAAGTTAAATGTACATGTTTATTATTAGAAGATGAAAAATGTTATATGATGTCGTGAGATTACCCCCTTTTTTTTTGTTGTTCATAAGTTTGCGGAGCATTCTACAAAGCAATTAACAATGGTTTTTTGTGAGTTATGAAGTTTCTTGGCGATTTGTTGTTGTTTCGTACTCTGTCCGAAAAATTCTTGTTTCGTACCCCTTATTGTACTTGGTCTAATGGCAAGTTGTACATCACTAACGTAATAGTACTTTAATCTTACTTAATTATCATATTTCTTAATTGTTTTTAGTGTATTAATTACTATTTTAACTATTTGGAAGTGTTCAAAAGCGCTCAAAATTGTCCAGAATCATTTTGAACAATTTTAGAAATGAATTAAGACTATTTGAAACAGTTCAGGGCTATCTAAGAACTATTCTAATCTACTGTAAGGGTATGAAACAAGAATTATCAACTGATTAATTACGATACTGTAAGAAGCAAGTAATCACCTTTTTGATTACCACATCCGTGTACTCTTTTATTTTAAATTCTCTCGTTCATTCCTAAATGTTAAACTCGATTTATACTCGTAACTTCAAATATAAGACAATTTATAATCCGATATGATTTAAATTGTTGCTTTCGACCACACTCACTCTAATATTAAGCGAACAAATTGAAATTAACTCGTTATATATATTGTTTTGAAAAGTTAATTTACTTTACGAATGATCGGTTTCAATTTCAGTTCGATGAGATATTAATTTATCGATATCAATCGTTCGAAGAGCGGCCTACGTAAAATGATCTCGAACGATTGTTATCGTGATGTATCCTATTCAATTTAGTGATGTTCTTTGTGATATTTTTTTATGTATATAAAATGTGATCTCTTTCTAGCGAAACTTATTACTTTATTTTTGTACTGTTTAATTTTATTTTAATCTCGAATGAAAAAAACAAACATTTATATTTACATTGCAATTGTATATTTATTTATCTTTTGTTTCCACTGTAATACTTATTTATGCAGCCTAAGTATGTTTCTCTGTATATTTAGTTATTTATTTATTAATTTTAAACGGAAAATGAAGTTCTCTAAATTGAATTAAATATACCTAATCTAATAAAGGTACGTTCGATTAATTAATTGAAAATTATTAATCGAATTAATGTAATTAAACAAATGTATATTAAGAAATTGTTGACACATGCTTCATATTTTAAGATTGATTGAATAAAAACGGCCCTGGCTTTATTTAAAGATGAATATCTCGGAGTATCTTATGTAAATCTCGCTGGTTAGGGCCTTATTTTGTAATAGGAAATTCGATAAAAAATTCCATAGAGATTCTATTGGAATTTTATCCACTCTACATTCACAAATGTAAATTTTCCGCTATTCTAGTCATACGTTTACGAATAGCCGTTTAAGTCGCCGGAAATCGAGTTTAGACTTGTTTAGTACAAAATCAGAACAATAATACTAGTTAGATTCGTATTCGCGGGAATTCACTTTGTCCAATTTTCATTCCACTTTTGGCGCTTCCTGAGTTCCTGCGAATGCGAAATTCGCTCGGATTTTCGACGACTGCTTAGATAGATACCGAAAAATGACTATCCAATTAGTTAGAGCTTGTTAGAGTTTAAGCCAAAAACTCGGAATAAAATGAAAAGATGAACTATTTTCAAGTAATTCGATTATTTTTTGTCGTCTATAGATTGTTGTATTGAATGTTTTTGGTTTAAAGTTGAAAATACGAGAGAGTGTTTCTGAGCTCGTAGCTAAATAATTAGCTGTCGTTTAATTAAGCTTAATTTTCAGCAAACTGTTAAACAGATTCAAAAAGAAACATCGATTTCGAAACTTGTGTTAATTACTCCTGATAGAAGTCGAGTATACAATTCAGTTGATCTGCAGTTATTTGAAAAATTTAGTAAATTTTTGTTAGGCTATTATCGAGACCTGATTGTATGCTGGACTCTCTAGCTTTTCCTGTATATTTCAGTAAAATTTGTAATGCATGTATAAAAAATGTGTTAGGTGTACAAGGTAAATATAGTTCAAAAATGTATATTTTTGTTGTACTCCCTGACACGAAACCTTCAGTGTTTTGTTGCAGATATTTTAGTACATTCAAATCATAAAAGAACTGTAAAAAACAATATCAGATTGTGTATGAAAATATACTAATGTAGCAAAATAAATAGACAAAATATATTGGCGGTTTCATTAATTTCATTTAGAACGCATAAAAAATTTATTCGAACTTTCTAAAAGTTCTAAGCTTTTTATTGGAATATTTTATTTAGCTTATTTATCGAAATATCAGGATATTTCTTTCCTTGCACTTTTAGCCTATATTAAAAATATGGCCTTTTACTATTCGGTTACCTGTTGAATTGTTATTCTCCCTATAGAATATACAATCGAGTAAAAGTTGTAATTTACCTGAGCTATTGTAATAATAAACAATTTATTTTACTATAAAGAGACTATCCACTTAATTTTTCATTTTTTCAAAACCAATAAGTTGGTAGATAATTTGAATGACGTAAGTGACAGTTGACTTGACAGTGAGTGATAGTGACGTTTTGTCGATTGGAAAATAAATGATGCGTTGGCCTCAAAACGTTTGAAGTGGTTTTAAAATTGCATTGGAGGAAGTCGATAAATCCGCAATAAAATGACAAAACTCTACTTGTTTCTCTTCATCGCCCTAATAGCATTCATAAATGTTACGAACCAGCAGAAAAGACAGGTAAAAAGTTCATTCTAACCTAAAAATCCACCGCATAATCAATCCCGAACCAATTTTTAGTCGCACTCGCTGTCCGAAAGGGTGCAGCAACTCACCGACATGGCAAACCGGCGAGCGGTGCTCCGATTCAACGCCAACAGATTCAAGGAGTACGTGAAATCCACGCCGAGGAACTACTCGGTGATAGTTATGTTCACCGCGATGGCCCCCCAAAGACAATGCCAGGTGTGCAGGCACGCCAGCGACGAATTCACCATCGTCGCCAACTCCTTCAGGTACTCCCAGGCTTATTCGAACAAGCTGTTCTTTGCCGTTATCGATTTCGACGAAGGATCTGAGGTGTTCCAAATGGTATAAAGTCTTAATGTATCCAAACGAACGCTATAATTAATTGTATTTTGAATTTCTTGTTTAGCTGAGGTTGAATACTGCTCCGGTTTTCATACATTTCCCTCCTAAAGGGAAAACCAAGAGCGCCGATACAATGGATATACAGAGGATAGGATTTGCTGCGGAGACTTTAGCTAAATGGATACACGATAGAACTGACATACAGGTGATAAATATGCCCGTAACAACAATAATCCTTACTCTATATTCATTTTAGATAAGAGTATTTAGACCTCCGAACTACTCGGGAACATTCGCATTGATCATTCTCTTCGGTATAGTAGCGGCTTTCTTGTATTTGCGCCGGAACAATTTGGAATTCCTGTACAACAGGACCATGTGGGCCATGGGGGCTCTGTTCTTCTGCTTCGCTATGACGTCCGGGCAAATGTGGAACCACATCCGTGGGCCCCCTTTCGTGCACAAGAATCAAAACGGACAGATCGCTTACATTCACGGCTCGTCCCAAGGACAGTTCGTGTTCGAGACTTACATCGTCATGTTTTTGAGTATCCTTTTGCCACGTTGTTTTGTAATTTTATGACAGGATTATCGTGTAAGTTTCCTTATTCACGATTAGATGCTGCTGTTGTTTTGGGAATAATTTTACTGACGGAATCGGCGAAAGGAAAGAGGGATCCTAAACGACGCAAGATTTTCGCCATCGTTGGATTGGCCTTATTGTCTATTTTCTTCTCTTTATTGCTATCAGTTTTTAGGACAAAGACGCAAGGATATCCATACAGGTAAATTTAACACAATTACTGTGATGTATGTGTTACGGGTAAAGTTAGATGAACTACTAAACCCAAGAAACCTAGGTTTAGTCGTTTATCCAGCTTTATCCATAACATATGCACTATATTTCACAGTATTTTGTTCTTGATTGGTAATCTAATTTATTTATTTTTTCAGTTTCCTTTTTAAGTGAGCCAATAGAAGGAAATTCGTTATAAAACGTACTAAAGTTTTGTTGGAAACTTGTTTTTGTAGTTTTCGTTGTTTTTTTACGTGCAAAATTTAATTAAACGTTAAAAACCAGCTAAAAGTTGTACAAATTGATTTGAAATTGGTTTCATTATACTGATGGATGCAAAATTGTCTGCAATATGGTGAACCCTATGAGTTAAACAAAGAAATATAAAAACAACAGTAGTTAGATTGAGAAAGTTACAATATCACTCTTTTCCTTTATACGAGACTAATGGAAGTTGTCTTTTTTTTGTATCCAGCTGTTTAAAAATTTGAGTTACTAGAGATAGGCGTAATGTTGGTTGCATATAAAGCAGGTGCCTTAATGACATAAAGAATAAACAAAAAATATACTATAATTTTCTTCTACAAACTACTCGGACTGTAAATAATTCAAGTAAACAGTATTATTCAAAAAATAATTCATACTTCAATGATTAATTAATGATTACAATATCAGATAAACGAATAGCAAAAGGCCACTCATGTGACTTTTTTAAACGTCACAACAAATGTCAACAAAAGAAACAATGACCTTTGTAATATTTAATAAATTGATTTTTACGAAAAAACTATGATAACCAGAAGCAAAAATTGATCCGTAATGGCAAGTGCAAGTTGTATATTTTGCAAAATTATATCGGGCAGTGCTCCGGCGACGAAATTATTCGAAAACGAGGAATTTGTAGCTTTCAAAGACATCAAACCCGCTGCTAATTTTCATTGTTTAGTCATTCCAAAGCAACATATATTGAATATTAAATCATTAAGCACTCATGAAGATAAATTGCTAGGTAACAACGTTTTTTCTTCGGAATGGAAAACCTGACAAACGGTTATTTGTAATTTTTCAGTTGAAAGAATGATGCAAGTCGGTAAGAGAATTTTAGAAGAAAATAACGGCAATTTGAATGATTTACGATTGGGATTTCACTGTCCCCCGTTTAATTCCGTGGGACATCTCCATATGCACGTAATATCTCCGGCCTCCGAGATGAGCCTTTACAATAAATTGATATTTCAACCTAACACTTACTGGTTTCAAAGCGTAAGATTTGAGTTTACAATTTGATTAAATATGTCTTAATCTAATATTTTGCAGGCGGAAGACACTTTAAATCAATTAAATAATAAATTGTGAGTTCTTTATGAGGATTTTAATGGTCAACTAAATTATTTATCTAAACCGTGAAATGTTTAATATACCTATTAGTAGACTTCTTTTATAAATAAGTAAGTTATTGATATAGTGGTTTTACTATTATAATGCTTCAAAACGTTTTTAATACTATACAAAAATTAACATTTTATATATTTCTTAGAGTTTAATGTTATCTGCTACACCATAAATATACCCATTTCCTTTTTATTATAGTTTCTACTTCCTTAAATTTGTAAAAAGCCTTAAAAATACCTAAAATTCTAAAATTTTGACAACAAATTAAACTTTTGTTATAAAAAACAGTTGATCAGAAAAAATAAAAATTATGTCATACTTGTCAAGAAGTCGGTTATGTAGAAAACTGTAATAAAGTAATTTTGACATATAGATATTTCCGAATTTGAAAACCACTTTTAAAATAGCGTCAAACGGAATTAAAACAAAGAAAAACGACTGTGTTTTTTTGAATTACTAAACACACGAAATTCCATTGAAACGATACCAAACAGGACGAAATCCGATCCGGCATTAAATCGCTTCGTTTCCATCGAAGATCGAGAATCGCCTGCCATGATTGATTTTAGCGTCATTTCGATACGGTCGAAATAAAACGGTTTTAAAGCGAAATGGACGGGAAAAGGGATTTACAAACGGTAATATAACGTTTAGCTAACTTTATATTGTTCGAACGATTCACGAAAACGTCGATTTACTTCGATTTTACGACCGAAATCGGCCTTCCAACATGTCACTAGATTCGCCATAATTGAAGTGTTTTTAACGAAACGAATCGTTTAATTTCAGGTATAAAATTACGAGAGCATTTTAATATTATCAAGGAAATCGTGGAGAAAATACGCAGAATAATGTTTCTTTGTTGTCCAGTTTATCAGAAACGACCTTGAAGAAATGTCTGCGTGAAACCTAACCTCACAAAAAAGTGTTTGTTTACATCTACACCAGTTACAAGAAAAACACGTTAAAATTAGCGAAAACGACGGATTTTTACCATGTAAATCACACACAGAGTACTCAGGATGGTGGTGGACTTGTCTAGCAGACCTTTTCAAACGAAAATGCAACCGGCCGGTATGAACATGAACCCGAAGGAGCTCTCCGAGAACGATGACATCGCCACTTCCTTGGTACTGGACCCCTATTTGGGGTTCACCACGCACAAAATGAACACCAGGTTCAGGGCGCCGAAGGCCAACATCAGCGAGCTCAAGAGCATCGTGGAAGAATTTGTGAAAAATCAAAATTACGATAGGACTTTCGAGAGGATTTCCAAAGGCGAATGGTGGCCGAGGATTAAGTTTAAAGTGCACCACAAGAAATTAGAAGATCACGTAAGATTACAATCGACTCGTTGACTCGATTATCTGACTAATAATTATGCAATTCCAGATCTATCGTTATCTCAGAGTGTTCGATAAAGAATCCGGTTTCATGATAGAACCCTGCTACAGGTACTCGTTAGAAGGGCAAATCGGGGCCAAAATCTCCTCTACGAGGAAATGGTACAAAAACGACAAAATCGAACGACTAGTAGGTTGTATAGCAGAACTCACCGAAGAAGAGGAAAAACAATTATTGCATCCCGGAAAAAACGATTTTTCCGTAATGTACAGCTGCAGGAAGAATTGCGCACAACTTTGGTTAGGTGAGTCAACAGTTAACACCCATCTATTCCTCCTAAAGTGTCCTCCTAGAGTGTCAAGATTTAGTTAGTAGTAATCGAATGAGTAGCCAAATAACTGTATTGTCGCAGGCCCAGCGGCGTACATAAACCACGATTGCCGGGCGAATTGCAAGTTCGTGGCGACGGGGCGCGACACCGCCTGCGTTAAGGTCCTGCGAGACATCGAAATCGGCGAGGAGATCACCTGCTTCTACGGCGAGGACTTCTTCGGCGACAAGAACTGCTACTGCGAGTGCGAGACGTGCGAACGACGCCGCACCGGCGCCTTCGCCAACGAGACCGATCAGAAAGAAGAGAACGGCTACAAGCTCAGAGAGACGGATAATCGCATAAACAGGACCAAAGTGAAATCGAAATCGCAATCGCAGGGCAACCACGGCGTTAGTATACAGGGTGAGTGCGCCGTACGAATAGTACGATGAGAAGTTTTGGTAGATAACTCGTATGTGTATTGTATTTTAGGCAACAATCGTCAGAACGGCAAACTTAAATTAGATACGATAATCAGCCCGTTGAGTATGAAAGAATTGCGCAGCAAAGGCCTGACGAAGTACGACGCGGAGTTGCTGATAGCGCAGGGTTGCCAGTTCTCCGACATGAACGAGTACCGCAAGCGTATGGCGAACAAGCGGAACGGCGACGGCAAGAAGAACCGCGGCCGGAACAGGAGCAAAGAGTCTGTGATAGGCGAGGAGAGCGCGACGACGGCGACGGCGGTGAGCACGAGGGCGTCGCGGATGCAACGACGGCAGGCGAGACGGGCGAATTTCGAACTGATGGGCAGCACCGCCACGAGGACGGTGTCGTCGCGATCGAATTTGCTGGACGATTTGCACAGCAACGCGAGCAGTTGCCCGAGCACGTTCAGCGACACCGAGCCGGGCTACGATGCTTCCTCTCTACACCACAATAGTATTAATTCGTTAGGTAAATCGCGAGAATTACCGTAAGCGATGGTGTACGTAACGATTTTTTTATTGGGTGATTTCAGATGCGATGGAAAAAACGCCGGGCATAACGTTGCGCAGCCACAAATGCCTGCGGGATCCGACGCCCGAAATGGCGACGCCCTGTATACCTTTAGAAGACCAGCCGCCGGCTAAGTTGCATTCGCAGTTAAGGCAGGTCGATTGCAATCAAAACGGTATGACGGATATCGAGGAGAACGACGTCGTTTCGAGGAAGAACCATCGCAGAAAAGAAGAGGCGTCGATCGATAACGGTACGGCGGGCGTCGCGAAATCGTTTGGCGGTCACGAGAACGACGACGAGAAGAGCGATATATACGAATTTAACGACGACGAAACGAACGAGAACGTTGTAGTTTTGCGGAAAAATAAAGCCGTACCGGATAATAATAATGACGGTTCGAATTCGAGAGAAAAGTCTGATGAAACCGAAATTACTGCCGCGGAGACCAAAAACGATAACGAAATCAATGGTAAACAAACAAATCATTTCAACTATTCCTAGAAGTTTGTTCTTTCTCTGGCTTGTTCTAACCCATCTTACCACATCTTATACTTTCTTTCACAATGTACATTCTAAATGTATCGATTTTACAGAAAGACCACCGACGTGTGTTCAAGCAGAGCAAAAGACTCCGGAGAAGTGCGGCCGTTTGAAGTTGACGTTGCGCATGAAGCGCAGCCCCGTCTTGGACGAAGTCATCGAATCGGGGCACGGCATCGGCGACGAGAGCAGCCCGTACTTCGAGCCCGAATACGAGGTGTTGCGCGTCGAAGGCGTCGAAAGCGACGGTCGCGACGCCGACGACGACGCCCCTGCGGGCGCGAACGGTCCGGACGGCATTAACGAAACGGTGGATTCGCCGTCTCGGACGCCCACCAAGTTCCCGTCGCACAGGAAGAAACGGCACAAATCGAAGACGAAAAAGCGCGGGAAGCGCGCCAGGTCCGACGATAGTGACAAACTGTTGCCCAGGTTGCAAATGAAACGTTTGAAATTGAAATTCGGTAACGAAAGTCACACTATAGATATAGATATACCGTCCACTAGCGATGATAATTATCGAATGTGATGTGGGGGGCGGTGTCGAGTCAATAATGGTAGTAAATTAGAAGGATTATTTGCTTGTAAACCAACAAATTCTTTAGTTTTATTTTAGTTATTATTCGAATTAAGCGAGCAGTCCTTCTAACGTATTGATCTATTTAACTTGCATTCTTTACGTAAATCGGTTGCAGGGGCGTAAGGGTCGAAATTACTCCTCCTTTGCGCTAAATTTAGATTCCTATTATAATTTTTTTACGCCCCCAGCCGCCCCTGTACGCGTAACTTTACAACTAACCTAATGTGATTTGTTTATCGTATGACGATATAATTATCATTTTGAATAATTATGTAATACTCATTCGTCGCGCCGTTAGGACAATTCGTGTATAAAATATTTAAAATCTTTATAGGTGTGCTACAACAAAAGTTATTTCCATATTCCATTGTTTAATTGAATCTAACGACTAATTGCAGTTGGATTTTCACCGTTCAAAATGAATTCATCGTCCTATCGATAGACTAAAATGTAACGCAGTATTCTGTTTTTTTTTGCAATATGTATAATTTATGCGGATTTTTAAACGAAATGTGATTTTATTTCGTACTAGAGGCGATTTCCATTACTCACAATTAAAATTCGTGCTGGATTTTTTGCGTAAACAACAAATTGTTCATTTACAGCGTTTTAATATCACGATTCTAATTCGTTTGTTCCAAGGGAAAGGTCCGGAACAATTCGGTACAGTTCAGAACCGTTTAGAATATCCTATTGGAACAAACCTCGATATTTTAATAGAGCATGTTCAAGGGGGGGATTTAAGACTAATTTATTTATTTTTAGTTTAATCAATTATCCTTGTATAGTATCAATTTTGAAGACTTTAGATAAATAAATGTAGTAACAATTTAATTACGAAAATTCATGTAAATACTTACTTTATTTATTTTTTACTTGCGAATAATTATCGGAAAATTGTGTATAAATGTTTTTAATATGTTTCGAGACGAGAAAATGTTATATATTCGCTCGTTGGTATTTGTAATTTTAAATTTTATTTTCCATATTAAATTTGTTTAATGATTTTTTTTTGATTTTTTTTAATATCGAAATAAAAAATTAACATTAGCATTTTTCCGTCTCTGTGTTATTTCTATGTTGAATGTCTTTAGTATATTTTTTGTATCTAGATAGAAAAATTCTTGTTGAAATTTGACCTGAAATATGAAAATCGCGAGAATTGTAAATACTTTGTAGGCAATTTAAGATGAAAAAAAAACACGTACATAATCTATACTCAACGACCGTAATTATTCCTGGCGGTGATGTCACTGATATCAATGTCGTATGTTCAAATGAAAATTCAGTATCACTAAATTAGTGACACAAAGTAAAATAAAAGCTATTTCAAATTCAAAAAACATATATTTATCTCAATACCCGACACGTTCAATACTGATTTACGTTGACTGAATAATAGAAGTGGAAAAGGCCAGTTTGATTTTCCAAAACTACGAAACTTTCATTGCTACCAACTGAAATTATGTTACCAAACCTTCAACTAATTCCCTTGCAGTAAAAGGCCACTCAGCTGTTTGACATTTACTAAAGTGACGTTTATCAAGAAATCCGGATTGTTTACTCACGATACCATTCCAATTTACCAAAAAAACAATCCAAATGTCGTCCCGCGTGCCACGCCTGGGGGCCCAACAGAAGAAAACCAACAACTTAGCCTACCTGAAAAAGGCCAAACAGGCTTGCATCAGAAACAATTACGCCAAAGCCTACGAGAACTTCGTCTTGTACTTCGAAAGCCTAGAAGACCCGGCCGACTCCGATCTAGCCGTACAGGGCGTTTTCACGCGCCTCGTCTGCCGAATGGGCTCCATATTAGAGGAAACCTCCAACACGGAAGAGCTGCTCAAATGCTATATACAAGCCTTGAACTTCTTCCCCGACAATTACCTTATACTGAACAACCTGGGAGCCTACATGTTCAAGTAAGTTAGTAATTAGGCCACCCTGACCCACCCGAATTAATTCGAACACTTCCCAAAGGATATCGGAGATAAACATAGCGAGACGGTACCTAGAAAAAGCATTCCGAGTAAACAAAAATTATCTACCTGCCGAGATTAATCTGATGCACGTTAAATGGCACCAAATGCCTAGGTGGCATTTCCGCATGTTAAACGATAAGGCTCGAAATGAAGCCTATAAGGCTGCCATCGAATCTGTAACAGCCAAAGGGTAAGCAAAATAATATAATATTCCTAAAAAAGAAGTTCCTAATTATATTTTAGGTATAAAAACGTAGTAGATATCGGAGCAGGCTGTGGTCTATTGAGCCTCATATCTGCTCGAATACCCGACACTTCTGTACTAGCTATCGAGGAAAATAAACAGCTCTACGATATGTGCTTGGATGTTATGAAGAACAATCAAGTTACCAACGTGAAGGTTATGCATTGTTATTCTACGGATATCGAAGGTATTTTTGAACTTACTTAATATATTGCATCTACAGTATGTTTGAAAAAGTTGGCAACATACGGGAAACTTTATGTAATTGTTGCAGATCCTCCGGATAAATGCAATTTGCTGGTAACGGAAGTGTTCGATTGTGCCCTATTCGGCGAGAAAGCATTATGCACTATATACCATGCTATATCAGTATTACGAACCGAAGAAGATTACAAAATAATACCAGCCGGAGCTAAATTGTACATCACAGGTAACAGTTAATAAAATAACAATCTACGCAACCTGCAGTTAGCTAACTGATGAATTCTACAAAACAGTACGTTTACAGGTATAACTTGCGAAGACCTCATCAAAAGGCACAAATTAACATTAGATAAATCATTGGATTTGTTAAATTTGGGCAACATATGCCTAACCGAGCACGATTTGGAACCTTACGAAACTGAGAATCTAACCGAAAGAAACGTCGAATACCTAACAGACAGTCACCGAGCCTTCGATATCAATTTCTACGATCTCGAACAAATCGGGGAGATTCTAAAAGACGAAACCTACGAGAAAATAATCCACCTAAAATGCCTAAAAGAAGGTAAACAATACACACAAAGGGCGACCGATATTTAACATATCTTTGCAGGGGAAATACACGCGTTCGCCGTTTGGTTCGATTTGAATTTAACCGATGACATAACGATCACAAACAATCCGTTAAACGCCGATCGAGTAACGTGCTGGGAACAAGCCGTCGTCTATCTAGATCATCCCGTAGAAGTGGAAACAGGAACCGTACTAACCGTCAAAGTCGGCGTGAAGGATTGCGGATTGCACGTGGAATTGATAGAAATCGAACCCCATCGAAATCACACGTGTTTCAAAGCCTCCAAAGATGTCATCACGTTTTTGAACGATCCGAAATTGGTCGATACGATAGCCGGTCTCGAGCAGAAATTTCGCGATGTTAATTTCACGGTAACTAAACAATTATATGTATCTCTTCTTTGAGTTAACTCGTATTTCTCAGGTAGTAGACAACAACTGTTTCCCTCTATTGGGCTTTCTCCTGGCTAAAACGGGCGATTCGAGCACCGTATACCATCCTATAAAGCAAGAAACAGACAGGGCCTTCTTCGATTACCTATTAACAGTTAATCGAATACCTAAGGAAAGGTTCGTAAAATACTTCCGGTAACTTAATACTCGACGAAATTCAATTGCTCTGTTAAAGGTTCGTGATTGTCAAAGGATTGGAGGATACGCCCGGCGAGGATAGGACGATTTTCTTCTTCGATTCCATCCACGTGGACGGTTCGTTGCAGAATTATTGCCTGACGAAGAACGAGATCGCCACGTGGATAAACGTACCGCAATGTTTGAACGTTGTAGTCCAATTGATCAATTCGCCGTACATCGAAATTTGCAATAAAGTGGACGACGCGAACGTGTTCGGGTTCAAAATAGCCGATGTTATTAACGAGTATTCCGTAGGTCCACTAAAACGCCCTTTCTTCCTTATCCTGTATTCATCCAGTGCTTGAAATAGGCCTCTTCCAGTTGCTTCCATTTCCAGCCACTTCTTCCTATTCTTTTGGCATATATTTTAGTACTACTTCCTTCCGTTGCTTTCTCGACCTCTTCCTATCTTTTTTCGTACCTTGGTGTGCCAATCGAACAATATTAATTATAATTTTTGCGCTTTTTAGGGCTTCGAACACCCGAATTTGGAGCGGTTAAAGTACGAAGAATACTCTACGCCGGTGAAATTCCGTCTGGAAGGGGACGGTGAGGCATCCAAGAATGTGATAGCTTTAAAGAAAGGCGATTGCAATGCGATATTGTTGTGGTACGAGATTCGATTTTACCAGGACATCGTGTATTCGACGTTAAATAGCACACACTATAAAAAGACCTGTTACTTCCTCAACGAGCCCAAACAGTTAGAATTAAGCGATGGTGTTACTGTAAAAATGAAAATAAACGACACTTATATGAAGTTTTCTATTGCATAGTTACCGTTGATGTATTGATATGGTTTATTATAGTTTTTTGATATTAAGTCGGGAATTTTCATTTATGAACCTTTCCTCGCAATAGGGAATCCCGGAAGGAGAAATATAAAGCTTGTAAAGACGTGTAAAAGAAACTCTAAAGATTTATTATTAAGAATACCCTGTACTTACGTAGATAGAACTTTAAATCAGTAATCTTCGTTGTTCGATAATTGGAATGATGTAGATGCTCTTTTGGACATTAAAAATGAAGAAACGTTCGAATTCTGAGACGGTTTAGGTTGTTCAATCTAAAATAAATGTAATAAATTTCTATAAACTTAATTACCATTCTATATCTTACGTGTTTCATTCGAAAGAGATTATCCAGGGCGTGCGGTAGAATCGGTCGGACCGAGTTGATTTCCATTATGGTTAAATTATCAACGGCGGCGTAAAAGTCGCTGTTTTTAACTAATTTGGTAACTGACGATCTGATTTTGGACATTCGCATGTCCCAAATATCTTTGATAATCACTTTAACTTCGTCCGCATTGGGAATATCATCGGGTGCACAGTCCAACAGTAGCTTGGCCTCTACCATGTAATGATCACTAGGCATTCTTGTAAAACCGCTATAATAAGAAAATTAATAAGACACTGGTACAATAACTATACGATATGGGATAGAAATAAACATACCTAGTTTGTTTTTCTTGTTCTTTAAGTGCTTCCAAATATTCGACGTTCATCCAATCGGGAGGGATTATTTTGCAACGTTTTTGCTTCTTTAATAAAGTTGCTACCCAAAGGGGCACTTGGGACGGTAAACTCGCCCTGAAAGGTCCCAAATCGCCCGAAATTAGATGGATATTTTCCTTGTTGAACGTTGGAATTATCATGATTTTACTCTTTTCGCCTAAAAATTCCAATTCGTCGGGGTCCATATGGATATTTTCTGGATATTATTTTGCTTAGCAAAAGTAAACACACTTTTATAAAATTTTATACAAACAAAAACGAAAATTTGTTAATTTCCCGCATTTTTTATTGTCAAACAAATCACCTGTCACCTGTCAGCTGATTTTTTTATATGGACCAAATAACCCAGCTAAAAAAGTCCGTTTCTATTTTAGCGCATCTGTCTCAGATGGCGTATAGTACGTTCAGATTGCACTCGTGCTATCTAAACCAATTCGATATAATAATTCCTAGTAGGTTACTAAATTAACAACAAAAGTGCGTGTATAGTTAAAAAAATTATGAAACGCCTATTTCTATAGTTTATAATCGAAATTCCTCAAACGCAATTTCGGAACGCAGCCCTTCTTCTACCCAAACGCAAACAAAAGTCAACATGGCGTCTGTGTACACTGTTAGTGCGTTGTTGTCAATTTTAATTTAGTTATTTGCTTTTCGCAGCGATTCGAACGGCTTTTCGCGAATTTTCCGCGTTATTCAGGACGCACTCGATCCGTAGTTCGATTCGAGACGGCCGCTAACCGCCGATCGAGCCCCCTAAACTACCAATTTAGTGTGAAAATCGCGACCTTGAAACGTCGTGTCGACGTAATAAAAGTACGAGTACGCGGAGAAATATACACAAGGACCAGTGGCGGGTAGTTTGAATAAAACCCAGCGTAAACCGGCCGATGTAAACCATGGAGAACAAAGCGCAGAGGGAAGCGACGTTGGAGAATATAGTGATAGGAGACGGCACGACGACGCCGCAATACATGATACAAAGGGTGCCCGGCGTGCCGGAGAACGCTCAGCTATTGAGCTCGGCCGATTTGCTGCAGCAACAGCACGGTTTGGTCGTCGATTTGGGCGGCAGCGATTTCATACCGGTGAGTTACTCTTCGGAGGACCTGCTCTCGCAGGACCTGACCGAAGAGGACAGGAATCTGGCCGCAGCCTTGGTGGCTGTGCAGCTCAGCCAGCAGCAGAAGCAACAACAATTGCAGGATCCCAGTTTGCCCGCTTTGGTGTCTTCCACCAGTTTGGGTACGTTTTAATTTATACTCGAGCGTTTTATATCGAATTATAATGTATTTGTTGTAGGTTCGAAGATACTAGAGGAGCCCCAATTAATCATCAGCAGCGAAAAGTCTGGTGGAACCAGTTTCTTGAGGATCGTAAATTCCGATAATATATACGTAGAGCCTCAAACTCTCCCGAAGTTGGTCGATTCGGTGAGTTTTAGAGCCGTAAATCCTTCGTTTAACGAAGAGCAACAACCGCCTATCGAAAAGGCACCGGTTAACGTTAAGAAAGAAGAAGAAAAGGTCGATTCTGATAGAGAATCCTTGAGGTATATAATAATTTGTATACCACGATTCATTATGTAACTTACATCGATTGTAGAAATGAGCCGAGGTCCTCGAAGAAGAGCCTGCCTCACAAGAAACGCATCTCGCGCAAGCTGAAGAAGACCCCGGCGTCCTCGAACAACAAGAAGATCGTCTGCAACCTCTGCGAGCAATCCTTCAATTCCAACGATGAATTCGCCCAACACGAGCTCCTGTGCCAAACCACAATCACGCCTGTCAATCAGGCCAACGCCTTCAATTGCCAACTTTGCAACGAACCTTTCACCGAGCAACTCAAGTACGAACAATCGCCGGATATTAATTGTAGTTTTCGTTAATTTTCGGTTGCGTTTTGAAGGTTCTTCGAGCACTTGAAGAAGCATTACGAGCCGGGCGGCGGGGGCCTGCCCACCCTGCCCAAAGACGCCGGCGAGAAGAAGGCGACCGCGCAGGAAAAGGCCGCCGAAACGGCCGAGAACGAGCGGCAGGAGAGCCTCCTGTCCAGCCTGCTGAATTTGACCTGCATCGAATGCAACAAGACGTTCCGCAGGCAGAAAACCTTCGAGGCGCACATGCGGGACATCCACACCAGCAAGCACGAGCCTTTGGACGAATTCAGCGAACCCGAAGACCTCATGGACGGTAAATATTCCAAACAAGTAGCAGCGTAATCGACTGCTACGTGAACTGACCTTTTGCCTTATAGAAAAGCCGTTAATTCGACATTTTATTGATGCAGGTATCACGATGGTGGTGGACGCGAACGAGCCGCAGGACGAGGACGAGGACGATTCGAAGGCTTGGTATCGCGAAGAGGAGATCCACCAGACCGAGGAGGATCTGAAGGAATTGGAATCGGTCGGTAACGATCACATTTGCCATTTCTGCAATCAACCGTTTCCGCTCCGGGCGATTTTGCTGCAGCATTTGGTCACCTGCAGGGCCACCTCGGGCAATAACGGTAACCGAATACTCGCATTCTTTGTGTTATAAACTTACAAGTAAAAGGCCACCATTCACAATAGACATTAAAGAAGCTAAAGTCGCTAGACTTGTAAGTGTATTTTTGATTTTATTTTTAGATTCTGCTCCTCTGGCGATCGTGAAAAAGATAAACAAAAAGAACAAGAAAAAGGCGATACATGAATGCACTGAATGCGATCGAGTGTTCACTCACAAGAACTCGCTAGTTTATCATATGAGAAGCCATACGGGCATTCGTCCCCACCAGTGCGACCAGTGCGGCAAGAGTTTCTTCGCTTCCAGTGCTTTAAAGGTAACAAAAGTAACAAAGTTACGAGGGTAAGGTGAATAGTTTTCGGCCAGAAAATGAAAGACCGCGATTTTCAGTCAAAAAATTACGTTATTCTTTTTATTAAGTCGAAATATTTTGTTTGAGAGAGTTCCCAATGATTCTGGGGCGTTCTAGATTGATCTAAATGATTCTGGAGCGTTCTAGATTGTTCTAAATGATTTTGGAGCATTCTCAATGGTTCTAGACAGTTTTAAATGATTCTGAAGCGTTCTAAATCGCTTTAGACAGTTCTAATTGATTCTGGAGCGTTTCCAAATGGTTCTGAAGCGTTCTAAATTGTTTTAGACAGTTCTAATTGATTCTGGAGCGTTTCTAAATGGTTCTGAAGCGTTCTAATTTGTCCTAGACAATTCTAAACAGATTCAGGCCGAGAACTTTACACCGTTACTTACGTAAAACCAGATTTGTTCTAATAAAACGTACGCTGAATTTTGCATTTCGTATCCAGGTCCATTTGAGACTGCATTCGGGCGACAAACCGTACAGTTGCGAGCATTGCGGCAAGCGATTCAGACAATGGGGCGATTTGAAATATCACATAACTTCCATTCACACCACCGAGAAGAACTTCCAATGCGAATACTGCGGCAAGGAATTCGCCAGGAAGTATTCCTTGGTCGTGCACAGGAGAATCCACACCGGTAAATACATAAATCTATCTAAACTGCTCCACAAATGTTAAGGAAGTTCGCAAATTTGAGTGATTATTTTAAAAGTTATAGACTTTTTGATCACCAAATTTTCAAATATGCGAATTTAAATGTGTTCTCTCATATCTAAGTGGATTTTTCGCCCTTACGTCTACAATTCAGACAAAATTTGGCGATCAAAAAACCTGCAACTTTTAAATTAATCTCAATATTTGTGAACCTAACTTTTGTGGAGCAGTATATTTAAAACCTTTTTTCTTATCTTTTGCTTCAAAGTAAACGCTTCGTTTTTATATCATTAACTCGTCCTAATTCGGTTTCAGGCGAGCGAAATTACAAGTGCGAATTCTGCGGCAAATCATTCAGGGCCTCGTCCTATCTGCAGAACCACCGCAAGATCCACACGGGCGAGAAGCCGCACATGTGCGGCGTGTGCGGCAAGCCGTTCCGCGTCCGATCGGACATGAAGCGCCATCTGAAGACGCATTCCAAAGGGCTGACGACCACCGCCAAGTCGGTGCGTACGCTGTCCAAAGTGGAAAAGGTGGAGATCGTCGAGGAAGAGGAGGAATTGAGCAGCGAATTGCACATTGAAGACGAAGAGGCGGCCGGTCAATTGTTGACCGAATACACGCAGGAGGAATTGGACGACGAGAGGACCGTTAGAGTTCCTGCCAATAGGAATTTGTAAGTTGATGTGATTCGATCGAATGATGATTTAATTTAGAGATTATCGGTTGTTCTCTTCATTGTTTTCTTTAATGATTTGTATTTTTTTCAGGTACATCAACGGTCACGAGTTGTTCCTCGTGACGTATCCGAATGAAATAAGAGCTGGAGAGCCTCAAACGTCCACTGCTGCTTGGGTGCACGCGCCGAATTCTTAAAATGTCGCCCCGTAAGTAACGAATGACGATTTTATATGATGACATTGACTAATTTGGAATCGATCGCTGGCAAAACAAATCACATTTTTCGACTTAAGAAGGTTTAATAATTGGAAAAAAGTACTATATTATATTATACACGTTTATGTAGTATATGCACCGGAAGGATACAATACAATACAAGAAGCAATGTTAGTTATTGTATATATATTTTTTTCATTCTGAAATTATTATTACTTATTATTATTATTCTAGGAATAAAAAAATATACAACAACTTTCGTTTATTTGAAAACCAATTTATTAATGTTTACCAACATAGCATTAAAATTAATAGCCTTAATAAACATTAATAATTTTCTGTATTCAACTTAGAAATGTAGATGTTTTCAAATTACCTAATCGAACGTAATTTTAATTATACACAAGAAAAAAGCGGATACTCTTATTTTTTTTCTTATAAATCACCTAATATACCGCAACAGTAATTAATTACAAGGCTTTGTTTTGCTATAAGAAAAAGACAATTTCTCCGTAAATTTTTATAATTACTAGAAATACGCAAACAATTGCAATCTACAACTAGAAACAAGTCAAACCCTTAATGATAAAAAAACCTAATTATTACAGTAGCAAACGTACTCGAAAATCTGAAAAACAGAAACATCAGAAAAAAAATTACAAACACAACAGCCTCGTATATTCACCATCAATCCTTAACTTCACCGCTCTCCGCCTCTCTAGCCCCTTCCTCGGCCAATCCGACCGCCTCCGGTTCCCTACTCTCTCCCTCCTCTTTATCGGCCCACTTTCCCCCCATCTCCCTATCGATCATCTTACTGGCATCGGCGCTAATGTAATCGTCCCTATCCTCGCCCTCGGACAAAGGCCCCTCGTGCCTCACCGCCGTCTCCCCGTCGGCGTACTTGTTGATCTTCTCCCTATCGTTCGCCGGCGATCTACCCGCCCTCTTCGCGGCCGGAGGCGAAGCCTCGCTGCCGCTTCCGCTGTACGATCGGCTGCGGTCGCGGTCGCGCGATCTGCTCCTCGAGTACCTCCTACAACAAATACTAGTCAGTAATTTAAGAAGTTTAACCACAGAGAACTCACCTCTTGTCCCTGTAGTCGCGATAGCCGCCGCCGCGTTGGCCGTAACGGCCGCGCGGCGGTCGCCGGTTGCCGCCTCTCGAATACGGATAGGGCCTGCCGCGGCCGCGATAATCACGATCGCCGTACCTGGAATCCCGATTATTATAGTAACCGCCACCTCTACCCCTTTGACCGTTATGCCTCGGCGTTTGGAATCTCGGCTTGTAGTAGGTGCCCCTGTCGTTGTTGTGGCGGCCGCGGAAACCGCCTCCGCCGCCGCCGCCGCGGCGCACGTACCGCCTCCTGTCGCCCGAATAGCTGCGCGAGCGGCTGCGGCTGCGCGAATAGTACGAACCGCTGCGCGATCTCGATCTGCAAAAACCAACGTACATTTAAATGATACAATCTAACGCCTGTATTCTCCAATTTCGGCTTAACAACCTGATAAAATTTAACAGTCTGTTAACAACATTTGTTATTCACCACGATATTTGAAGTAACTGATAGTAAATGGACAGTTTTCTCAAAAATAACCAAGATTAAGTTGGTATTACGATATAATTCCTATCTTCATGCGAAAAATTATAACCACAATTTAATAAAAATGTCAAATTTGTATATTTGATGAAGTAAATAACCGTTTATCTGACTGTTAAGTATTGTATGGTATTAAAAATGTGCTACAAACCTGCTGTAGTAGCTTCTTGATCGTGATCTGTAGCTGCGCGATCTCGATCTGGAGCCGCTAGACGATCTGGGCGAGCGGCTGTATTTGCTGCGACTGCGGCTGCGCCTCTTCGGCGATCTGCTGTCGCTGCGCGGTCTACCCGGCGGCTCTGGTGGCCTTCGACCCGCTAAAATACACAGACAAATTATAATAACTGAATAGAATCGATATAACCGCTCCGCAGCAAAGCAGCGATTTACACAGCAAATAAAACAGTTCAAATGCATCCTCACCGGGTCCCATATGCCCTTCCTTCTTCAATTCGGGCGGCGTCATCAATCTGAAATTGCCGAATTTATCGAGCACCACCTGCCCCTGCGGTATCTTGTTCAGCGGCGGCGCCGGCGTCGGCTTCAGCTTCTTGGGCGAGTCCGGCTTCTTCGGCGGCGGCGGCTCCTTCATCGCCATCGCCTTGCGCACGCTCAACGATTTCTCGCTGGGCGGCGGCAACGGCGGCATCGGCGCCTTGCTCTTCGACGGCGGCGAATCGTCCGTGGCGGAACCTGCGAACGAACAGCATAATTATAGAACGCTTCCCTCCCGGTGCGAGAACGATTTTCTCACCGCTTTTGACCCGCTTGTCCATCATGTCGCCGCCCCATTCGTTGACCGGCGGCGGTTGGCGCTCCTGCGTCTTCTTGCGGAAGCGGGCGCTGCCCGACGTGCCGGGCCCGATTTGCATCTTCCATTTTTGGGCGCCGCCCGCGGAGGCGGTCGCTTCGGCCACGGCCTGTCGCGCCTTCTGCTCCCTGGTGGGCGACGGCGAGTCGACGACGCGCTTCGGGGGGCTCTCGCTGCGTTCCTTGCTGGAATTAATAGAGATAAAAAACGATTAGAGCGTTAGAGCGTTTCGGGTAATTAATGAAAACAAACGGCGTGATTAGATAGAATTTTGTGCTAGAAAAAACAGACGGGGAAAAGGATTAGAATCTACTGGATAATAAGGGTTGTAGGACATTCGTTGGTGTTCAATTTTACCCTTGTTAGTGTGCATTAGATTCGAATTAGGTGTTAAAAACATGCAAATTTATATTAAATTTTAACGAGATTTGTCTCCTCTTCAACATGATTATCTTTAACTAATTAACATAACCAGTAAAGGTCAGTTATTCCAAACAAACGCATGCACTTTTGAACGCAGAGTTAGTTTCTAAACAACTACCACAAAAACTATTTAATTAATCGTGTTACTACATCCTTGTGTTTTTTTTCACATTTTCACGTACCGTTTACTGTCCTTCTCTAGAGCGTAATACGCGTTTAATTTTGATTCTAACTCTTCGATATCCGGTAAACTATCAATAAATCTGAAACAAAAATTAGCACGATATTGGACGGACGTACATACATACATTTTCGTTTTTAATCCGAAATTAATAACCTATCGAACGTTATCAATTAATTTCGCAACGAACCTTTTACTGTAACCGGACTTTTGCAAGAAATAATCCTCATCGTCCGACGGTATATTGTGCCTCTTCGATTTCTTCTCTTTGCTCAGCTCCTTCTTGATGGCGTCTCTCAACTTCTTGTGCCCGTCCAATTCGCTCAAATCGAAACTCTGCTTCCTCTTCAACTTGTCCTTTTTCTTCTTCTTCTTGCTCTCCTTCTTCGCCTTTTTGTCCTTCTTTTTCTTCTTCTTCTTGTCGTCGCTCTTGGCCTTCTTCCACTTGGCGCTCTCCTCCAGGAACTTCCTCACCTTGTCCTCGTAATCGGAATCGCCTTTGGTCTCCGTCAGAAACGCTCTTACTATAAACAATTTATTAAAATAAACCAATCGATAAGCTCGAATTATCCTCACCTTTAGCCTCGTACGGATTCTCCACGGGTTTGACTTGCTCGGGTTGCTCGAAACCGAAATCGAACGTGCTGGTACCGGCCGGTTTGTTGAAATTGAAGCTGGCATTCGGAGTATCGTGACTCTGATCCATCAGAGCCATCCGTTTGCTCAACGGGCTCAACGAATTCTCGCGTTCCTTGCGCCTGTGCGACCGCGACCGGTGCTTCTTCCGCTTCTTGAAATCCGAATCGCCCGACGTCGAACTCGAATCGCTCGACGAGCTGGACGAACTCGAAGAGGAATCGCCGCTGGCCGATGAGCTCGAGCTCGAACTCGAACTCGACCGCTTGCGGTTCTTGCGCTTCTTGCTCTTCTTCTTCTTTTTCTTGTCCTTCTTCTCGTCCTCCTCGTTTTTGAGCATCTGCTTCAGCGCCTCGTTGACGTCGGCCGGTTTGGCGGGCGCGCTGAGCGCGGGCAACAGCAATTCGGCGGGTTCGATGAGGTTTTTAGGCTGCGCCTTGTTCTTGAGGAACTCCAGCGAGTTCTGCGCCTCCTCGTGATAGGGTATGATGCTCAGGCAGCTCTGGTACGCCTTGCGCGCCTCGTCGATTTTGTTCTCCTCCTCGTAGCTCCGGCCGAGCGCCACCAACGTTTCGCCCATGTACTTGCGAGCGTTGGCGTGGTTCGGGTTCAGTTTCAGCGCCGTCTCGAAGTCCTCGATGGCCTTTTGGAAGTTGCCGCTGTTGGCGTAGAGGGCGCCCCTCGCCACCAGCCCTTCCACGTTCTTCGGATCGATGTTCAGGGCCTTGTTGAGACATTGAAAGGCTTCGACGTGCTTGCCGGCTTTGAAGTGATCGATGCCGTCGGCCACGTTCCTGTAGGCCCATTTGCTCGCTTGGACTTGGCGCAATTCGCCGGCGTACTCGTTCTCGGGGAATTTGTACCTGCAAATAGACAATACAATTAGGTTTTGGAAGAACATGGAGAAACGTGAATTGAACTTACTTTAATCCGGACATGAAACTGAGGTGTTTGTCAACGTCCATCAATTCGGACAAATATTGAATGTTATTGGGATTATTGAAACCGACGCTCTTCTCTAACACAGTGTCGTAACTCTCATTCTTGTAATCCAGTGCTTTTCTGCAATCGAAACAAACAGAACGTCGATTAGAATCCGTTTCTTTTGTATAATGGCATAATATAATTCTATTGTACGTCATTTCCTTTTCGATAAAGGCGTAGAGTTTTACAGCGGCTTCGTGCGAGAAATTACGAAAAATAATATCCACATTGCCTTGAACGCATTTCGATTCCTATTTAATCTGTGGGTCTCGCTAGAAAGAAACCCTGAAAAAAATCATACATACCCGAGATCGAATCGGTCGAATCCAACTCATAGATTTCCTGTTTAAACATTTATTTTTTTTAAATAATATCGTTTTTGTCATTACACAGAAATCCTCTCAAAGGTACACAGAAACAAAATTAAATTTTGTTTTTTATAATTTCGTCTGTTTAAATTCCTCGACATATATTTTAGATAATTTTTGTTTGTCTGGGGTAGCATTTCTGCGGAAAATATGCCTCATAAACTGGATTGCACATACAAAAATACGTTAATCATAATAAAAAAAATAAAAAAACATTAAATATATAAAACAATCAGAATATAAATAACATCCATGTGAATCTCACCTTTTCGCATTTTATTTGTCATTTTTCGTAAGGTGCAATGTTTTTCAGTTGCTTTTTAAACGCCACAACAGTGCAAAACACAATTTTTATTACTATTTTTACAGAATTTTTACGTTTCGTTAGCTGTTTATTATTTGTATATGGCAAGACAAAAGGTCTTTTCTAAAAAGAGAAAAAATAGTTTAGTGAAAGACTCCCGGATAGCGTGGAGGGTGCTTTACAAGCATTTAGGCATCTTTCTTCCAAATCCTACACACTTTTTTTTTAAATTCATTTATCAATTACTCCTTCACCGACACTATTCCGAAAACAGAATCGAACCCAAGGAAATTAGATTATTGCAAAAATTCACCAATTATCTAATATTAAAAAAAAATTAAAAACATTACGTTGCCATTACAGGTAGATAAACTTTGCAATTATCTAAAAAAAAATTAAATAAAAAACAAAAAATGTACCTAAAAACAACAACTAACAAAACCACCTGAAACTGAATCGAATTAAAACAAAACGAATACGAAAATCGATAACATCGAGCAATCGATCAACTTACTTGTATACAATGGGAAAATCGTCTGTACTAATTAGCCCCAAAGGTGGCCGATGTTCGGGATCCGAAGCTTTCCTCGTAACGCCCTTCATGCCGCACACAACTTTATCTGTATCGGCTATAATTTCAAGCACCTCGCAACAAACATAGTCATTCATCATGTAGGTGCGCGTTACTCCCTTTTTATCTACTGCCGGGATGACATTCGCAACGGGACAAAAGGCCTACAAATACAACAAACAAGTTTATATAACCATATACGGGACAACCTGTATATCTTATCGTGCAGTTTTACAGCCACCTGTATACGTACTTTGACATTTATATCGGCTGCGTATAATACTGGGGCGCCCACACCGGCAGTACACAATACTTTCAACATCATACCAGATTGCTGTTTGCTTACGATCGTTCCCAAAATCAAATCGCCCACTTTAACGTTCTGTAAAATATTTACAAAAATTAATTACTTATTAACCTTGGTATTTAACGAGTTTACCTCCATAAAGAATTGCAATCTCTTTTGCTTGTCGACGCCCGTGTAAGTCTCGAACGGCGGCATGATGGCGTACATGTCCTCGGTGGTGGATTTGGGGGCGTTTTTGATCTGCGTGGCCTCCAAGCTGTAAATGCAATTGGATTTTTTTATGAGGAACTGGTGCAATTTCAGCCGTTTTCCTCTGTCCTGAAACGAAAGGGTCTTCTGCCGTTGGCCGTAGACCTGATAGTTCAGGTCTTTGATGTTCTTGCGAGACAAATCGCTCTCGCCGAATTCGCCCTCCCACAATTTCTGTAGCTGTTGCCCGTGGAAATTGATGGACTTCGAGATTAACTGCGAATTCATCGTTTCCATGTTGAACGGGTTTTTCTGGAAAATTTAATGCGATGTTATACAATAGAAATGTCGCGTTTGACACTAATTTATAACTAATTACAACTTTAACGAGCAGATAAGTAGATAACAAACAAAATGGCGTACAGTAGGAAATTACACTTTTATTATTTACATTAAAGCATCATTTGTCGATCGCATTAATCATTAAATATTCAACAATACAATTATCAAACCAACTTACCCTTTCCTATACGTTTAAAACCAAATCAATAAATATAAGATCGTCCATTTTCCGCTCGGGAATATTCAAATTTGCACTAACAGCAGATTATTTCGGAATGATTCTTCAATATCATGCGAAAACAATTCGTGAAATAAGACGAAATTAAACGATTCTCAAATTATGCACAATCACAAAACACACATAAATGGAAAATTGTTAACGACCATTGCGAGATAAGCGAAAAAATGGTTGCCGGATACCGGGTGTGACGCTAACGGAAATTCTGTCAAAGTCACTGTCATGTCATTCTTCTTTTTTGTTAATCTAAATTCTTTAGTCATCTGTCAATTTATCTACACCTTCCTTTTTAGGAAAAATTGTAGTAATTGATAGTACCAAATGGATAGTTTTTCACTCAGTAATGATTATTAAAAGGCCTAATTCGACATTTAAACGTTGGTTTAAACGAGGTGCAGTAACAATAATTGTGATAGACGCACTGTCTTGTGTTGGAAGTTACTTTATTTGGCGTAAAATCAACACCGAAAGAGGTCAGTCAACCAATTCTAGAATATTCATCATTATCATCTATTCTATACAGATTTTAGGAGATATCTACACGACAACTACCCGTTCGTACTAGAGGGTTACTACAAAATCGGCGAAACCATCGATTCCCAAAGCCAGATAAGGAAAATCGACTGGGAACATTGGAACAAAGGGGCTTAATGATCGGCAGAGGGGCCAGATCGCTATTCTGGTTAGCGGTTTGTGGTGGAACTAGTTACGTTTTGCTCACGGTAATTCCGCAATCGGAAGAACAAATCAATAAACTTCGAGAGGTAAGGGTCAAATTGACATAATCAATTTCGTGTCAAATTATTAATACTTACATTTCTGCTTACAGAAACAAAATCCGCAGGAAAGGAAGGCCAGCGAAGATAAAGCGAGATCGTTTATGAATATACTGAGTTCCGCATCGCATACCGACAAGCCCTTGTATCGCTTGAAGAAGGAGGAAATCGAGAAAGAAGTGAAGAAATAACCGAACATGAACTTCACCGATAATTCCAATGATAGTAGTAACAAATTAAACTTTTTAACCCAAAGAGAAACCGAGAGGCAATTGAACGTACGCAAAAAGAAGGATACGAAGGGTTCCACCGGAGCGGATAACGAAAAATTGGAATTCTTCGAATCGTTGTTCGCTGAAAAGAGATTGTACATAGAAAATCTAATAGAACTAACCAAAAGCGTACCGATCGACGAATTACCCGAGCACTTTAACCTTATTTTAAAAGAAATAGTCACTCTACAGAAATATGTAGCAGCTTCAAATATATTCATAAGAAACTACGATGTCGAACGGTGCCAGAACATTTTACAAGATTTAACCTTAAAATCGAAGCGATTGGAAGACGAATTGCTGCCCAAAAAGAAGTTTTCGTTCAAAAACCGAGCGAAACAAAGCCCCCAAGCGACCTCGATTAAACCCAAAAGCACCGATGTAGTCGATAACAAAATCAAAATCGAACCCGACAAAATCACCACGGGATTCTTCGATAAACGCAACGAAACCCTAACACTATCCAGCACCGATTTATTCCAGAAAGACATCACTTTAGAGAACCTGGAATCCTGCACGGTGATCCTCAAAGGCACCCCGTCCACGTTACATTTGAACCGACTCAACGATTGTAAAATATTCTGCGGACCCGTCAGTACGTCTGTGTTCGCAGAAAACTGCGAAAACTCCACGTTAGTGATAGCCTGCCAACAGCTGAGGCTCCACGGCTCCAAGCACACCGATATCTACCTGTACGTGACCAGCAGGGCCATCATGGAGGACTGCTCGGATATATCGGTGGCCCCTTACAATTGGACGTACGATGGCATCGCGGACGACTTTCAAAGCGCCTCGTTCGATTCGGCAGCCAACAATTGGACCAGCATAGACGATTTTAACTGGTTGAATCGCAAGCACTCGCCCAATTGGAAGGTGATCGATGAATCGAATCGAGTCACCGACTGGAATCTTATATAGTTTTCTTATGTAGTTAACGGTTATTAAAATATTTGCTTCTTATATTTCAATCAATTTACTTATATTTTAGGAGATATAAATGTGGCCTGTTGCCATTTGGCTATGCAGGTACATCGTCTGTTTGAATGATATAGAGGCTTCCTGAGTAGTATTAGTAGATATGAGAGAAGCGTTTAACACCTTTACTGAAACGAGGTTGATTTATACATTAAACAACTTACATTAAATTGAATTTATATGCACTTTAATCTTACGAGTTACTAAGAAGTTTGATGACTTATACGAGCTAATTTATACATCGTAGCCGACAATGTGGCGTTTACCGATACATTCGCCGACGTAGAACCAGCAGAGTACCTCGATTCCCACGAGGGTGTTCAGCCAGCCTTCTTTGACGGACTGGTTCTTCCACGAACCAGTTCGAGCTGCTGTGATCAAGCGGCCGAGTCCCGCCCTGATTTGGGGTATATCTGCGGGAGTGGGAGGCGTCAGTTCCACTTTGGCGTATTTAATGAAGACATCCAGCTTGGGGCGCCCTTCTTGTATCAACCCTTTGAAATAGAAAATTAGTTAGGTTAGGAGTTACGTAATTATTATGTCGAAATTTACTTCCTGCCAATGAAGGAATGGATGTGATCAGCTTGGACATTTTTAAAAGGTGTTGGTTGAGAGAATTACACTAAATTTGTGAGAATACGACTAAATTTTGGATTAGTTTCTCAATAATTGATCTAAAATAAAAATGTCAGATTGATGTAATTGACAGGTGACAGATATGACAGATGGTTTTGAAAATTTCTACTAGCTGGAAAATACATGCAACGTAGGCCTCAGAAAAAAGAGAATCTGTCAAATATTTTAACCTTGAATTTTAGGCTTTCAATTTGGCGCTAAAACATAACATTACGCCACTGTTTCTTTACTTCCTATCTGTAATCGTGCATAATTTGTGTCTCCAATAAAAATGCCTAATCCACAAGACTACAATTTATCAGAGGGGGCCCTCGAGGTAATGTATTGTTCATGACAATTTGCACTTGTTTTATCCCAATTTTTTTGGTAGACCATACTGTCGGGCGGCGATTACCCCAGCGCTGTAATGCAAGTACTCGGCAAAAAGCTCATTCACTCTGGCGCAGGGGACAAGGAACGAGTCAGAATCCTGCTCTCTGATGGAAAACACACATTTTCCTACGCCATGCTAACAACACAAGTAAACGGCCGATTAGGCCCGAACGGTATCGAAGACAATGGCATAATAAGAATCGAGAAATACATCACGAGCATGGTCAATAACTCCACAGGACAAGCGTAAGTTCTCCTGATAACATTTGGCAACCACTAAAACTAATTGTGTTTCGATTAGGCGTGTCCTGTTGATTCTCGAAGCGGATCTCGTGGTTGCCGGAAGCGAGGTCAAGGGGAAAATAGGAACACCGGAGCCCTGGACCGATAAGGGCACTGCCAATAGCTCGAGTTCCCGAATAAACGGTGCCCCGAAGAAAGTCGAAACTCCCAGCAAAGTTGTCGATTCTCCTGTTATATCGAAACCGATTAGCAAAGTATCAATGGATACGAGCATGAACTTCGATGGTTCTCTGATCCACCCCATATCAAGCTTAACACCCTATCAAAACAGGTTGGATGATTAGATATAAAATTGCTTGTTTGTCGTTAATTTTAAGGCTTCTAGGTGGGTGATACGAGCGAGAGTCACCGGCAAGACGCCCGTTAAAACCTGGTCGAATTCGAGGGGAGAAGGAAAATTGTTCAGCTTCGATCTACTCGACGAGAGCGGGGAGATTCGTTGCACGGCCTTCCGGGATCTCGTCGATAAGTTCCACGATTTCCTGCAGGTAAAACTCCGGCTTGATTGCTCACAAGATTCTACTGCCCGTTTTTATTTAGGTGGACAAAATCTATTACATCTCGAAAGGCCAATTAAAAATGGCCAACAAACAGTTCTCCACCCTCAAGCACGAATACGAAATAACAATCAACAACGATACCCAAATACAGGAGTGCAAAGATGTAAAAGACTCTGATATACCGCAAGTACAGTACAATTTCGTGCCCTTTGATAAAATTCCCGAACTAGAAGTAGGCACTATTATAGGTAACTTAATCGCGAAAATTACTTGATAAGAATCTAATTGTTTGCCTATTTCAGACGCCATCGGTGTTGTGAAATCCGTGGGAGAATTAATAACATTCCAAGCGAAAAGTACCCAACGTGAATTGAAGAAAAAAGATGTCACTTTAATCGATCAATCCAGCACAACAGTAAACACTTAAACAACACATTAGTACTTATAATACTGAATTCGAAACGTTTCAGATCGATTTGACTCTATGGGGTGCTGATGCGGAGAACTTTGACGCCCCGAATAATCCCGTTGTCGTGGTAAAAGGGGCGAAAATCAACGAATTCGGCGGGGGAAAGTCGTTGAGTACTCTCGTCAGCAGCAACATGTCCCTGAATCCCGAAATAAAGGAGTGCTACAGGCTCAAGGGCTGGTACGAGAGGGAAGGTGGCGCTGTCGAAGCGAAAAATCTAAGCGCTCGAAGCGGTAACGTCGCCAGCAAATGGATGACTTTCAAGGAAGTAAAAGACCAAAAATTAGGCCAGTCCGAAAAGGGTGAGTACGAGGATTCGATTTCTTTTATACGGTTTTGTGTAAATTTGTTTCGATTGTAGGTGATTATTACCGAACTGTGGGCACAATTCTCATTATTAAAGCGGAGAATTTCCTTTATCAAGCTTGCCCGTCAGCGGAATGTAACAAGAAAGTGTTGGATATGGGAAATGGAATGTACAAATGCGAGAAATGCAATAGAGAATATCCCAACTTTAAACACCGATTCCTGGCCAGTGTTAGTTTTCTGCTGCCTTTTTAAAATCGTAAAATTGAAGATGAATGTTTCAATTTTAGATAAACGTAGGAGACAACACGGCTAACCAGTGGATGACGTTGTTCCATCCAGAAATAGAGAAAATCTTGGGCATGACTGCCGAGGAAGTTGGTCAGCAAATTGAGAATAAGGAAGAGATTAATAATATCATCGAAAGGGCGACCTTCAGAGAATTAATCTTCACTTGCAGAGCTAAAATTGAAACCTACAATGTAAGAAACTCCTACTAATTTAATCTATATTATTTATTTGGTTTATTTTTTTTATAGGATGAGGCCCGGTTGAAAACAGTTTGCATTAGAATCGAACCGATAGATTACGAAGAATATAATCAATACCTTGTTGACCAAATTCAACAGTTGACGGGTTAAGTTTTCAGTTCTTTGGGTTGCGCACACGCTTTAAGGAGTAAAATAAAAATTCGTTTATTTAGAAAAACATTACATTTAGCTTTATATTTTTGTATTTATTATCAACATTGTAATATTAATTTTTACGAATTACATGTTTCAGTTAGGTTTTCGAGAATTGTTAATCTGTAACGAGATACGTTATCAGTTATTTATAACAGTAGAGGTTATTTTATTTACCTTTCAAAGGGGTTCCAAGTAGGCTTTTTTTCTAGCGTAAGCTCCCAAACAAGCTAATATAAAAATGACGCTTATAGATAATCCTATTAGTAAAGCTAAAGTATCTGAAAAATACCACATATTTACATCAAAAGTATCAAAAATAAAAAATTAACTCAAACTCAAACAAATTTTTGTTTGTCACCTGTCAACTTGTGCAAAGTTATACCAAAAAAAGAAGAATTTATAAATGGCTGGATTTTTAATGAGCAAACGGCTACCAATCACAAAGTAGATCTTTCAACTTGACAGTTGACACATAAACATTGTTAGACCTATTTATATTTTAATAATATTCGAATTGTTGAATTAAAATATCGTAGGTCATGTGCGTTTTTAGCAGGAAAAAACATGTAAACATTTTTAAGCAATATGAGCGGTAAGTTCGAGGATAATTTACGCGCTCTCTGTGAAGAGCAAAACACCAAAAACCTCTTCAAACTATTGAACATCATACGCAAGGAGGTGGACTGGCCCAGGAACAAGCAAAACATCATGTCGATTCGAAAGGATAGCTATTTAAAACACTTCGTCAACATCCTGCAATCCCAACATCACAGGCACGTAATAGACGTCTGCCTTAGTATTATAGGCAATTGCGCCATGGACAGATCTTGCGCTAGAGAAATGGTAAATTTATAGACAATAAATTCAAATATAGAAACTTAGATATATTCCAATTTTAGTTCGGAGCTTACAACATCATCTCATCTATAAACCACGTCCTGAAACGCTTCCCCAAAGAAGATAGCATAAACGGTAGAGTGTTTAGAATATTAGGCAATTTACTCCACCACGAAACCGAATGGGCAACCGTAATAATCAACAGGAAACCCCAAATCGTTACGCATTTAACAGACCTGCTCTTGACTTGCTCCAACGACAACAAAACCAAAGACAAGCATTCCGAGGCCACCATTTTAATGGCCATTAGAACCTTAAGGTAACAAGCTTATTATAAACTTAATATAGCTCTATTAATGTATTTATTTAGGTATTTAATCAACCAAAGCACCGTGAAGCTCTTGATAAAAAAGCATCAATCCCTAAGCGCCGTCGGCGCTCTCTTCATCAAATCGAGCCAAGACTGGCTGAAGGACCAATCGAACGATCAAGTCCTCAACGCAATCGTAAACCTACTCTACATATTCTCCCGCTACAAAGACTACTCGATGGTGCTGGAGCTGAAGACCACCGAGAAAGGCAACGCGCTCGAACGGCTCACCGACGTGCTGTTGCTCTGTCCCAAAAAAATCATCAAGATCATCATGAACCTGATCCGCATCAGCCGGCTCAAGTCCGACCTGCCCGTCCGCGACATCTGCAACAAGTTCGTGCTGGAGCTGTCGAACAAGAACATCGACGGCCGCCGTTTCGACGGCGAATGCTCGGACTACGTCAAGTGCCTGTGCTTCCTGCTCGACCATCCGGCCAATCGCAACGATCGCCAATGCTCCGAGGCCGTTCCGCTGCTCGTCAGCATCTTGGGGAAATTGAACACCGCCACCGAGGCGGAGCTGCAAGGCTGCATCCTCATCGTCGACACGCTGAACAAGTGCCAGTACGAGGAGTCGCTCGTGCGCGAGCAGCTCAAGTGCGGCGTGTTAGATGTTCTGGTCGATCGAATGCGCGGGCTCGTGGACGATTCGGATATAACGAACGAACACGCTTTTAAGAAAGGACTGAAGAGGAAATCGTCGCCGCTGTTGAGCCGGTATCTGCTCGAAGGCGAGGTGGATAGCGGGTGTGGCAGGAAGAGATCGTGCACGTGCGGCAGTTGCTCGTACAATTGGTCGTTGCTGTATAGCTCGGTGAGTTCGAGGCCGAATGGTGTGTCGTGTTTTATTAATGGATTTTCGTAGTCTATTACAGCGTTGCCGCAGAGTATTAGCGAGGAGAGCAGGATGAGACAGGGGCAGTTGTCGCCGGTTTCGAGCGACGATGAATTTTGCTACGCCGGTAATTCGAGGTTCGATCGGAGCCCTAGTCCTTGTTCGAGTTCGAGCAGCGATTACGCCGGGTTGTCTTGGACGTCGCCTACCTCGAGGTAAGATAAAACTGTACAGTGCTTTTCGAGGAAACCGTTCATTTTAATCGTTTCTAGCCCTCAGTTGAATAACGAAATGTATTCGGACTCGGATGATTATTCGCCGGTTTGTAGCGAAGCCGATTGCAACGAATTCCCTTCAAACGCGCCAGCAGAAGTGGAAGGTTCCGATGGAAGCGATCCTAACTCGGAGTGCGGTGAAGTCGAAGAAAATTCGCAATTCGGTAAACAACAAACTATGCAGTTAAATTACGCTGAAATTAGATAATCTTCAAGAAAATGAGAATAATAACACCAAATAATAACTGTAATTACACCATTTCAGACGACGTCTTAGAGGAGAGCAACGCGGGCACGTTGAAGATCAAACTAGTCCTAGAAATCATCAAGCTAATCAAATCGTACGTGAAAATCCAACCGCCCGTCATGCAACTGGGCTCCGAGCACCTCCTCATGGCCCTGCTGAATTGCTCGGAGTTCTTCAACGCCCACGTGAATCCCGCCTGCGTCGTCTGCGACATACTCCACTCGCACGTCTATTTAATACCGTTGATGAGGACGGCGTTCGTCGAAAAGGTCTACGGCATGACGGAGTTCCTGCACACGAACTACTGCTCGATCTGCGGCAATCGATCGTATATAGGTAAAATGGTGCTTAACCGGTTGACCGTGCTGGCCGAATGCGCAGCCGGTAAAGGGGACATCGCCCACGAGCTGCTCAGAGGCGCCGTCGAGGTTAGAAGACAGATCGCTCTCGTCGTTCCGTACGTCATCGAGTAAGTAGTAGCTTTAGAATTCCCTCAGTAATTACGGCGAATATTTTACGCAGAAACAGGAACATCCTGTCGAAGCTACTGCTGGACTGCGGCGGTCTGGGCGTCCTCATGCAGCTCCTGCAAGAGGACGCCGAGCTGAAGAAGCGCACCATCAAGGTCCTCTGCGCTTTGGCATCGAAGAAACTGAAAATCGCCAATCCCAAGAAGGTCACCATCGACGTCAAAGACAAACTGGTCGCGCCGAACTCGTCGCAATCCGATTATCCCGTTAACATAGTGACGTTTAAACTGGACGACGGCGGTCGCGTGACCGCCAACAGGACGTTCCTGACCGAGAAATCGGTGTATTTCAGCAGCCTGCTGAGCGGGCACTTCAAAGAGAGCGGCGAGACTGAAGTGGATTTGCACAACGTCAGATTCGAAACGCTGCGTTGCCTGATGCAGTTGTTGGACTGTACGAAAGCTTTGGAAAAGGCCGATATCGATACGTTGCTGGACGTGGTGGTGCTGAGCGATCGGTATCTGATGAACGACATTTGCTGCGACGTTACGAACTATATCGAGAAACATAAAATATCCGCGAAAACGGTGCCGGTGATATACAAGTGGTCGATGGAGTCCGGATTGGATTTCCTTCGCGTGGAATCGGTGGCCTTCGCCTTAGTGGCTAGTGTAGTGGACGATGTGCGGTACGTTATGTTCAACGAGCTCTTCGATCTCGGTTACGTCGAGGAGTTGACTGATGATATTCAGAAATTGCTCGTGAGGTATCTTAGTTGTACCCCGTTGCGTTGAACGTTTGTTTAGTGTAGATGTTTGCGAAGAGTGCCGGGATAACAGCCATTTTGTATTTCTTTGTTAAGTTTATTTGTAACGTATTGTAAAACACAAATTGGTTTTATATAGGGTGTCCCGTGTAGGGGAGCCTAAAACATGTTGCCAACTTATAAATACAGCAAACTTTTGAATTATCTTGACTTTATATATGGTTTTTCCACATTTTCCGTGTTTTTCCGTTTTTAATAAATCATAACTTTAGCTATTCGTGTTTTTGCTTTTCAAAACTACTGCAGAATAAAAAAAATAATTCCCATAAAATCCCCCCGTTTAATCCATATCATTTTTCTAATCTTTATACGTGCACTTAAGCACTTTCCGAATCACTTGAAAATTAAAGCGGCTTTTGTCTACCTAACTGGAAAAGCTCACTTCTCGATTCGAGCCGAATACGGTAGAATACAATACCGAACGAGATAATAGAACGTCTGCGAGAAGCAAAGGAATTAAAAAAAAAGTGACTCGAATTCCATATCAAACAATGGCAGGAGCAGGAAGGCAGGAGAATGAAACGTATAAGCGGGTTTACGCGTTTCTACTTGTTATTACCAGAAATTTATCGTTAAAAAATCGTTGAGATTTCACTTAATTTACTCGCCTAAAGCTCCTTTACTTGTATTTAAAAAAACTTACAATCTCAAACGACAAATGAGCTTTTAAAGATTTTTAATTTTGATACACCTTATATAATTATTATTTATATACACTTTATACTATTGGATAGCATTTTTCATCCATTCTGATATGTAATTTCACCCTCTCGTCCGCCATTCGTAATTCGTCAGATGTGTTTTCTTACCCGGCGTAAATTCCAACAAACGTTCGCCGCGAAAATACGTCCCTCGCGGCTTAATATCCACATACATTCCACTTTTTGAGGTAGAATTAATCCGAGAAGGACTCCACGAGGACTCTCCGAGGACCTCGTTGTTCGCGCTCTCTTCGCGTTGTTAAATATTTTCGACAATTCGCGGAGAGCGCGACCGGGAGAACAAAGAACATTTGGCTCGAAGGCTGCTGCTCGGGAAATCCCCGGTTCAGTTCTGTGTACACGTAATTGCGTTATTACGAGGGCAGAGGAAATGTACTCGAAAAACGCCGCTATTGCGATGCTCTAGTTTTGGTTGATGTGATTAAAAAGTATGTGTAATTGCGCTTATTAGTGGGAATATTTGGAGAAATTGATGGAAATGCAGAGTGTTCTTGAACTTGTAGCATTAAATTTTAGGGTGTGGTAGGTTGAGATAGTTTAATTATTAAGGATCATTTTTTGAGGCAAAAGATTGGTTAAAATTTACCAGTACGGGGTTTGAACTGAGTGTTTTTGAAGAAAAAATGGTACGCCACTGCTTTTTCTAAAAACTAAAATTATTTTAAAAATTCTCATTTATTTTGGAGCATATTCGGTCGTTTATTTATTAAATACAAGACCGTGGTGAAATCTAACGAATTGTCTAACCTTACTTAAATGTCAAAACTTTGCCTAATTTTGGCCTTTCACGTATCGGAAAACAAGTAATTTTATATCACAACCACATTTCAATTTAAACCGTTTCGCAACAAAATAGCACCGATTTCATTAGTCCAATTGGAGTTACTACGCGAAACTCCTTCGATTCTCCTTCATAACAGCTTCAACTTCAACTTAAATTCCATCAATTACGGCCCGACATTAAGCTAATTTTAAACCGTTCCTGCGGGGTCTCGCAGGAGGGCCGTTTTCATCTTCGACCACCTGTCTTCGAAGTTCTAAAACTTCGCTCCCCCAGCCGATAACTGCGCTGATTAAATTCCGGATCGTCTGCGAATCCCCGCGCTCGGTAATTTTCGCTTAAAAAAATCCGGTACTTTCCCACAGCGGGTACTCGCCAATGCGTGACTTTCCGCCGGTAAACAATGCGTCGGAATTCGGCGAGGCGAGCCGAACGGGAGGCCCCGCGAAGAGCGTCGCGACGGCGGACTTTTACCGGTCGGGCGTTCGGTTAGTGGCGCGTCGACGGCTCGCCGGTGAGGGTTGGACGGATATTCCAGCGCGCTGGGAGAACTCCGCGAGAAGTTTTGCGACTTTCGAAGTTCGTTCTGAGAGCGAAAGAGAGGAGAAAGTTCGGGCCGGTTTGGTTTTATTTTTTTCGGTTGCAGTGCGATTTATGGCGCCCCGGTGGTGCGTTAGTGAGATGTAAAATTGTGCGGTTGATTAGTTTCGTTGATTTTTTTTTAATTAGATTTGAAGCGGAAAAAACTTTGCTAAACCATGGCTGTTTTGGCGGTCTCTTTAGGATTCGTTTTCATCACTCTCATTAAAGGTTAGTGTTTAGAACGTTTTTCTATTAATTGACAACTTTTTTTCACCGTTAAACGAATTTTCCTTGAACTTTTTTCGTTTGCAATTACCGCAGGAATCCGACTGGAGGAATCTATTCGGGTGAAAAAACTCAATTCGCGTTCGAATTTATCCGCGAAATATCCGGGGAGCGCCTTTAGAAAGCAACATTTTGATTTGTTTCGCGCATTTCGCAAAAATCCCGGTGCTGTTCTTGACACTTTTATTGCCCGATTTCGCCTAAATGAATAACTTCGTTCGCTTCCGATCCCGAGTTACAGGTTTTCAATAGGTAAAAACCGTACAGGTACATCAAAAAAAAAAGAGTACAGTTGGTGCAAAACAAATATCAATACAGGTCACTACTGTCGTTATATATTTGCCAAGCATTGTTGCCAACTTTTAAAAATAAATACACAACATACATTAAGCTTAATACCTGCTGAATATAATTTCAGATTAACAAGGGATGATAGAAAATGTTAAAAAGCAGAATTAAATCACCCAAAAAATATATATTGTCAAAATTTAACGTTTTTATATAAAATTAATATTATTTCATTGTAGTAAAATAATATTAATTATTATTATTAGTAAATATTAGCTTTTTAACCTACCAAGCAATATGAAAAGTAAATAAATTCAATTCGTGACGTCATGATGGGTTTTTAGTGAACGTACTATATGCATTTATTGCCTCAAATATGTACAAATTCTTTTATTGTGCGCCATGTGTTGGCCTGAGAAATCCACTCCAGATGTATGAATGCATATGTGTATGTATGGCCGTGAGCGAGACACTCAATACGAATAAAAATAAATGAAACATCCCCACGAAACGTCGTTTCCTTTCCCTAAACGCTTTAAATAGAAAATATATTTAACGGGAAATTTAAATTCCGAACGAAATAAGCCGCTAGAACGTGCAAGAAAAAAAGTAGTGTAACGGGTCTTATCTTTTATGTAGTTTGTTATCTTCATTTACGAGCGCAAGCTAATCTTGTTTTTTATAAAATAATTTCAATTTTCAGAATCATATAAAACTGTCTAGAACAATTTAGAAAGCTTCGAAATCATTTAGAACGCTTCATAGTAATTTAGAACAGTCTAGAACCATTTAGAAAGCTCCAGAATCAATTAGAACTGTTTAGACCGCTCCAGAAATGTCTAGAACCATTTAGAACGTTTTAAAACCATCTAAAACGCCACAGAATCATTTACAACTGTCTTGAACTAAATATTTCGACTTAATAAGAAGAATACCTAATGTAATTTTTCAACTGAAAATCGCGGGCTTTCGTTTGCCAGTCCGACAACGTTTCCGGTACACTCAAAATATGTTTACCAAATGCCTCTATCTTCACATTAAAAAAATCTCCCGCTTGATACATATCCAATTCTAATTATAATCATAAGTTAATCCTCTTTCAACACGCCGGTGAATCACCGACGACACGGCCCATTAACCGTTATCGGGTCTAGGAAAAGGCCACGCGACCGGAACGCTCAAACTTAAACAAAGGATCCGTATATATCTTTTTCGGTTTATTCCGGCGCACCTTGCAAGGCGACGGCGTTATTAACGGTCGAAATACTCCGGGCCCGCCGGAGGATTACTTATTTATCGGAGCGCGAGGGTTTCCCCCGTTAACATATATATTTTCTTCGAGATTCAATCGCGGCTCGAGCGCGGTTTATAATAGAAGAATCGCCCTGTATGGTGTACCGCTCGGGCCCCCGTGTCAAGCGAGCGTGGTTCCTGTAATTAGTAACCCTATTTGGTATTCTGCAAACTCGCCTCAAGGCGTATATGAGCGATATGAGCGCGGCATATATTACGAATTTTCCTAATTACATTCAATGATTCTCAACATGCGGTTAAACGTAATCTTAGAGACAATCGGTGAGCCAGGCAGCACGCGCTGCAGCATTACAGTAGTTTAGGAATACAATTAACGTTAGATTCGAATGTAAATGAATCGAGTTGATGGTGAAATATTCATTATATCCGAATGTGTGTACGTTAGAACGGCGACGTTACATTTCACGCTGGTTGAACGCAAAACTAAAATACATCAGTATAAACGCTGGTGATGTATGTTATTGGGCGGAAGGTCGTTGTTTTACAAGCATTACACTCCCTTTGCCCGAAGACCACCTGATATTTCACACAGCAGTCAAGGGGCGAAAATTATGCCGGCTGGCGCGGCTAATGAAGTGCCTCTGTTTCCAATTTATACGAATTCCAGTGGAAACGACCTTGCGAGGAGAGATCGGGTTGATTGCGATTGAATTTACTCAATTTTATGGTTAGAGGTTGGATAAAAAATGTGCATCATTTTGTAGAAGAAACAGTTCTCTGTGAGTTTGGAAAAATCAAAAATTCAAAATGCCAAGATTTCCGAGATATTTTGACTTTTCTTGTGGTCAATACGTGATGAAAAAGAAATTAAGTGTTCATTTAGAGTGCATTTCTATAAAAAACTTCAATTATCTCGAAAACCAATCGAGATAAAAAAACGAAATTTTCATCATTTTATAGACAAAACTTTTCACTACAACTTTTTCAGAATCATAAAATTTTCTAAAGCGCCAAATTTCCGAGGTATTTGCATTTTTTTCTTATGCGAAAACATTCTAATTTTTAGTGCCATTGTATAAAAAACATCAATTATCTCGAAAACCAATCGTGATAATACAACGAAATTTTCATCATTTTATACCCAAAACAATTCACTACAACTTACGAAGAATCAAAATTTTTCAAAAACCCCCAAATATCCGAGATATTTTTATATTTTTATAGCACCATTAACTATAAATCTCCCGTAATTTATCCCCACGTTTGTTCATCCTTTTCCGGGACGCAATGTACAACATACATGACAAAAAAAAAACCGGGAAACATGTCCACCAATCAATCATCTATTTGCCAAATCTAAGCGGAAGCAATCGCCTCCAAATTCGGTTTTCCGCCCGGCAAATCAATCCTCAAACACTCGCGCTTTTCCCCGTCAACTTTTCGTCGCACAAAAGAAAATCTATCGGAAGCAATCGCCGAAAAAACCGGTAAATTCGCACGAGCAAATCCGGGAGAAAACAGAAAACAATTCCATTCCATTGTACCGTTACGGATCCTTTTGTTTCTGGCAGGAATCCTTCCCGCAAAGAAAATAACGACATGTTTGAGTAACAACTTTAGGCTGAGGTTTCCCCGCCGGAGACTCGTCGAGTGGTAATTATTCCCGCTTCTGGAAAGGAGTTTCCAGCCGTTTCCAGAAATCGTACGGGTGCAAATAATTGCACTGAACAATTAAATATTTCTACTTTTAATAATAAAAAAAACGACCACGTTCGTTAGGAATTCAATTCGACTACCGGCTACACTTCAAAGCGAATTAATTCTCACCTTTTTAGGGATTTTCGTTTTATTACGGTCATTCCGCACAGAGATGTCTGTTTTATATTCCTTTATATCCTTTGAAACGGATAAATTATTTTCCCTTTAGCGCGAAACTGCTATTTTTACGCTCTAAAAACTGCTCTTAAACTCGCGGAAAAATTGTAAAATCGCCAATCACTCAGCCAGATATCTTTATTGTTGAATTAAACCTGAAAAATTAGGATATCTAGTCTATACTTTTCATTACTATGCTTTACTTTATTACAATCTGCTCTACTTCTGTTTTATTCTGCTTTATTCTGCTCTAATGTGCTCTACTTAGATTTAGATACTGCTTTATTACGTTCTGCTGTACCTACTCTGCTTTGCTTTGGTCTACACAGCTTTACTCTACTCTACTTTGCTTAACTCTGTTCTACTCTTCTTTACGCTACTCTAGTTTGCTCCATTTAGCTTTCTACTTTGTTCTACTTACCTTTACTCTGCTCTTCTCTGGTCTACTTTGCTTTATTCAGCTCCAGTAGGTATATGATCTACACCTTTCTGTTATATTTCCAATTTTAAATAACTAAACTTTGAGAAAATTGCTTCAGTGAAAAATTAGAAACATAAACCAACGCGCCTCTATTTATCTTCCGAACTTCCGCAGTTGACTTTTTAAAGTTTTCGAGCGCCGTGACCTGTGGAAGTTTCGCCAGTTTCCGCTACGAAATGCAGTTGAAAATTGAATAAAAAAAAAACTTCACCTAATCCAATGAAATATAAGGAACTTATCGAGTGCAAACGTCCGACACCGCGCGCTCGTAAAACTCCCGGACTCCGGGGCCGGGATTCCCCCGCGTCCGGCCCCGACAATGGCCAGTTTTCTGTTTTCCCATTTCTGTTTTGAGGGCCCATCACGCCGCTTCGAGCACCCTAAGCGCCCGGCCCGTACGACCGGCGCGATTTCCGAAGTTTCCCGCTTTCCCGACGAAAACTACACTCGAAAATGTATTATCTATCGGCCGGCGAAGATTCGCTCCGTGCGAAACTTTTAATTCGGTTTCCTTTATGCCCTTTCGCCGAATCGCCGTGACGAGGCTTTTCCGGCCGATGGGAGTTTATTTATTTTCTGAATTTTCTCTCGGACATGAAATACGAAAAGCATACGCCGATCAATGGATCAGTTTGAGTTGGAGCTTTATTATAAGAGCTTTATTATTAGAAAGTGTATATTTTCATGCATAAGTTCCTGCATATTAAATTTTGTTGCATATTTTCCAAGCTCTATTTATGATTATTATTGTGTCGATAAGGTACGCCAATGATGCGGGCATTAAATCATGGCCCATATCTGCATTACATTATATTTTTCTCTCCATTTGCGAAAAGGTTTTTCACTGAAGCAACTACGAAGATAAATTCGCAATAAATGGACCAAAGTCGGGCCCATTTACTACGGAGAGAGCAAATTGAAATAACGGGAATATCCAAGCACACACACACACAAAAAATAATAATAAAACCAGCGCACCAGATAAAGCGAATTCGTTTCCATAGTTTTTATTACGTCTGTTTGTCATGTCCTCCGGAGAGGACGCGTCACGAGGATTCGTTAGCTTCTCCATCGATACGATTTTCCCATTTTCTTTTCGGCGCGGTGAAAAATCGGCTACTTTCGATCATCCGCCGCGTACAAACCAGCAAACATTGAACCGTTCAAGCGACTTCTGCTAATTCCAGCGGCGATAAAAATTAATCAATGCTACCAGAAAGGATGGCCCCGCCATTACGGTAAAAGGATGTTATTCGTATGCACGCCTTTGGCAATAATATCCCGGACCTCCGCTCCGCTTCCTTGTCTAATGATAATGGAAAGTCGGAAAACGCGAACGGGTAGAAAAAGTCCGGAGAAAAAGAAATACAGTTAGCTGGTACATCCGTAAAACTGCGAGAGGAATACGGACGGTTGATTCGGGGAATGTACGAGAAGCCTTCTGGAAAGCTTTAACAACGGGAAGGGGAGGGAAAAAATTAATCGAAAAAATGCACGTCATGGTTATATTACTTTGGGTGATGTTGGAAATAGAAAAATGAGGAGTAGAAATAAGTGGTCCTGGAAAATGTCCTTTTTATTTAGCTATGTTCAATTAAGAATTCGACTCGAGGTCACTCAGAGTCTAAAAAGTGTTCAAAGAGTCCAGAACACCTCCAAAAATAATCCAAAAAGGTTCTAAAAAGAGTTCATAATAATAATAAAATCACAAAAAATTTACTAATTTCTAAACGCCATTTAAACTCCATGCAATTCTCTTGATTTGCATAACCACCTACTCATTTGAAATCCTAATAAAATATTATCATTGAGCATATTATTTTAAATATGTAGGAGTGTTTTTCGTAATTTTAAGTGATTAACAAAGGTGCGAAGTAATCGAACAGAAGCAACGGAAGCGTCGGCTCGAAATTTAATTAAACCAGTTACCTTCTCGATAATTTTCGAAAAATTTCATGTTTTCCATTCGACGAACGGACGGGTTTTTTTTCTCTAACGATTTAACTGACAAAGGGCCCTTTTAATTCGCTTTAACGAGGTATCGGCGCAAATAGATTTTTATTCGTTTTTCCGCGCGAATTTAATCCATTAGAAAAATTAGATTGTTGTTTGCGTTAGATGTTCAATGGGCGTTTTCCCGAATTTCCCACTAAATCGCAATTAATCAACCGAGCCCAATCGACTACAAGTGACCCAAAAAAATTAATATTCGTAGATTTAATAATTATTTTTTTTTATTTTTCGAGCAATCTCCTATACATCCACTCCAGGCGCAGGTATGCACTATACAGCATACGCTAGCATATTTATTTCTCAAAACACACATGGATATTTGAAAGTTCGAGCGTAACTCGGAGGTACGCGAAATCAACATATAAAATATCCAAACGGGAATTCGAAGAGCAAACAAACCCTGTTGACCCAAACATTATTCAAATTAAATGTAAATCAAAAACTAACTGCGTATGTGTGTATGTATGGCTCTCACAGACCGTGTCGCCGTGAACCAGGATTAAAAAAAATATATACAATAAAACCCGATATACAGGGTGACCCACTTACCCAGTGGTGAATTTTGATTAAAATTTATCGTTTATTGGATACAGGAGTTCTAGAGATATCTCGTTTAATTGTTGCATTTTTGAGTGTTGAATTGATTGTTCAATTTGATATTCTTTATTCTGAGCTTTCAGTTGAAAAGTTAGTTGTAATTTGATTGAAATATGCTTGAAATATACTCTTCAATACCTACTTTAATCCTTTTTTATATTTTTAGTTTATTTTAATCACGACACAACAATCATTTTAGCAGAAAAGTGCGAGCTTTCCAGTAAATCAGATCCGCATTTTCAATAATTTAGAGATAATTTTATGCCTCGCGATCCACCCTGTGGGAAGCTGTATGCAGATATTACCTCTACGGATACAGCGGATTGCGAAAACAAGCAATAATCCGCGAATTGTAATTAAATTTAAAACCTAATAACGCCGGGAAAAGAGTCGCATTCCATCAGATGAATTTCCAGAATTTCGTTCGGCATAAAGTGAATTAGCAATTTGAATGTTTGCTTCAATAAAAGCTAATCCCGAGCCCGCAGCGTAATCAGTTTGCTTTCAACCGAAGGTTCAGAGTTTCAGTTTATTTTTTTTACATGTATATCCGCACATCGAAAAATCAGCGGTGTTGATAATGAGTTGCATAAATTATGCACTTTTGTGCGGAATTATTGCGCAATATTCACGCGAACTTTAAATTATGTATTTAATTTATTTTTGAAGAGCCTCCGAACCGTCCGTCTCGTCGGCGCGTATACACGTTTTATTAAATTTCTCTCTAAATTTTAGAGGTAATATGTATGTAAATCGTGCTTACTAAGCGTTTTATTCGCCGAGATTAAGCAATAAGGTGGAGTTTTATCGCCCCGAAAATGCTCCAGGAGTTCTCCCCTTTTATCGTACACCCTGTGTTACGTCAAATGCCATTTTTCCTGTCATAAACCGGTTAAAATTCCCGTTCAGTGACGATCGAATCGAATTACAAGGCGAACATGGACGCGCCTGCGACGCCTCCGGATGCTGCAGGAGCTCCTGCTGCGGCTGCAGGAGCCCAGGAAGCGCCCGAAGATTGCGACATGGTGGAGTGCAAGGGCTCCAAGTGCGCCATGAGGAACAAGAAAAAGGAAAAGTGCGGTGGGGCGAACTGCGAGAAATGCAAAGAGGGCAAAAAGAAGAAATGATTGTAACAAAATGCAGGGTAAAATAAAGCTTTGATGGGAATTTCGTGTTGTAAATTTTGAGCAAAAGTGTATGAAAAGTTGCTTTGATTTGAAAAAAATGCTTTGATTAATAAATTAATAAAGCTTTGATGGTCATTTAGTGTTGTAAATTTTGAGCTTGGCAAAAGTGCATACGAGTTGAACATCGCAAATAAATAAAATAATGCACAAATACTGCATTTCGCAAGCTCCGCATCATTTACCCAACATATTTTACATATTCCGCTCATTTAATATATTTTTAGTTAAAAGCCAAATTTCAGTTCACAAATGCATCTCGATGAAAGCGAACAAACGAATCAGAAAAATTATTTCCCCATTGCATTTTATCATCTACTCCACCTAAAAAAAATGTTATTTAAAACGTTCGCCTCGGACGCGGCATAATCGCCCTTTCGGCCTCTGCGAACGCTTGTATCGGACCGATAACAACATCGAAAAATATAAATATTCCCGCCGGCGGAAAATTAATTCGCCCCTACGCGAATGAATAACATCAAAAATTTTCGAACGCGCCCCGAGCCGGAAAATCGCGCATTATAATTACACGCGCCGCATTCACATCTCGAATAGGTATACAAAACTTTTGTCGAATTTCGCCAAACAACGCCCGGTAATCTAATACAGCGTTTCGACAAAGCGCCAACGATATCATACTCGGGGGGTGCGAATCCTGCGAAGTGTGCTCGTGTGGTTATCGCGATAATTTGACGCCGTTTGAAACAGCAGGTAATCATTACAAATCGAAACGCGATAAGTCTGATGGAATTCCGAAACAAAGCCAGATGTGCCCGAACGTGATGTGTTTCGATAAGGGTTGCTTTTAAATGCGCTCGAATTATTACACGAATGTAAGGTTCATGAAAAACGTGGTTCTCTCGCTCGAGATCGTTATCGAAACTTACATGATTCTAAAAAAAATCGATTTTTTAGAGCTATTTGTAGGAAAAATGTGGATCTTTGGACCTATATGGACCTATATGGACCTATAAGATATACAGTTATAGACCTACAAGGTATAGACTATAGATGTACAGACCTACAGGGATCTACATGGACTTATATGGACCTACAGGGAACTATACAGATCTATTATTCAACGTATATTGACCTACATAAACGTATTTTTGGACTTATATGGACCTATATGGACCTCCAAGATATACAAGGTATAGACCTACAAGGTATAGACTATGGATATACAGACCTACAGGGATCTAAATGGACCTACATGGACCTACAGGGACCTATATGGACCTTCAGGGGCCTATACAGATCTATTATTCAACGTATATTGACCTACATAAACGTATTTTTGGACCTATATGGACCTATATGGACCTCCAAGATATACAAGCTATAGGCTATGGATATACAGACCTACAGGTATCCACATGGACCTATATGGACCTACAGGGACCTATACAGATCTATTATTCAACGTATATTGACCTACATAAACCTATTTTTGGACCTATAGGGATCTAGAAATGAACCTGTATGAACTCATCTCCAGCTGACTTTAAAAAAAAAAAAACCAAACGTTTTAGTTACTTTACGTTTAATAAATAGCATCGAACAAAATAATTCACACTATTGCTCCGTCCGTTCCGATTCCTCGATCATTTTCTCGATCAAATTGGAGCGCTCGTTGACGTCCTTGAGCATCTCGGCGAAGCCGGTCAGTTCCCCCTGCAGCTCGTCCACGCCTCGATTGACCCGGTCCTCGGACGCCTCGTAGGCCTCCATGGACTCGCTGATGGACTTCAGTTCCTCCTCCAGCTGCCGCAACTTGGAGTCGCGCGCCGCGAAGCCGTCCTCCACGGCTCTGATGTCCTCCTCCATGGAGCCGGCCCGTTCGGCCGCCCTCCTCAGCTCGGCGTCGCTCGATTCGATGTCGCGCTGCACCGCCTGGATCTCGTTGAGCTGGTTCTTGATCTCCTTGACGCGCTCCTGCACGGTGTCCTGCAGCTTGTCGAACGGGATGTCGTCGATTCGTTCGTCGTCGTCGACGTCGGTTCTACCGGAAGGGTCCAGGAAATCCATGCGGAGGTTGGCGGGGGTTTCGCTTCGGTGACAAGTTAGAGTCAGATTAGTCGGTTTAATTTGGAATGTTGGCAGCAATGGAAAATACCTAGAACTAGAAATCCCTAGAATAGTTGAGTCGACACGTATATATCTGTTTTTCGTTTTATTTTCGCGAGTAGTTTTAGTGCGATTTTAACGAGGTTAGAGCCGTGTTAGAACCCTTTTACTGGCAGGTGTAAACCGGGAAACGTTTCGCAAGGTTCGGGAATAAATTCAGCAAAACGATGGAATTCGGAGGAGCGGACGTCGGTTTTTGTTTCTCCTGTTCGACTTTCGGCGCATTCTGATCCTTTAAACCGAAACGAGGAGGCTTCTTTCTCGAGAAATTTAAATGCATTTTATGCAGGAGTTTGCTCTGTTTTCTTTCAGCGAGATTCTCGAATTTTGCATATGGTATATTCGCGCTAATCCAGCCATGACGTCACGACCTATTTTAAGTATGTTACGAACTCTAATAAAAAAAAAACGATTTTTTTAATGCGTCTACTTAGTTCTGGTGATTTGAAATTGGCTGTAAAAGGGATTTTTTTCAATAGAAACGCCGGTGATTTCGCTTTTCGTTATCGTTAAACTTGAGTGGAAATAATCAGAACATCTGGTGAATTAAACAAGGTATTAATCCATTCATTATATCCTGAAAGTGTGGAACGGAATTAGCCGTTGTTCGCGAAAAGTTGGCGCGCAAAGCGGTCAAGCGTTATTAATGCTTCTTTTCCAAGTTTTTTTCTTCTTCCTCTCGTCGGCGTCCCTCGAAAATTCTTACTAATTTTCGGGGTATTAAAGGAAATCGCGCGACAGTCGAGATTGATTGAGACGGAAATTGAAACAGGGAAATTTTAATTAATTTTTCTCGCCCTCGCCGCAGACCGGCCCATTAAGATTAAATGAATTTCGACAAGTACAAAGTCGATGGGTATCGGAAAATCGTTAGCGAAACCCTTCTTATCCGCCTCGCATTAATCTTACAGCTCTAGTATATCGCCGAATTTCACAATTACAATGCTCAAACATCGATTTTACACCGACATTATATCGAGAAAATAATTTCACGCCGCATAAGCCTGTCTCGCGTCTCTGCTAAAAATGTCGCAAGGTAATCGACCAAACGACGATCTCGCTGTATACGCTTTAAGCGACAAAAGCGCAAAAAAATGTAGCCGAACTGAATGGAGCGGATGTGCCTTATGTGTGACTCTTTATAATTAGACTGTGTACCGTTGCCTTGGCATTTTTGTACCCGACAAGACGCTCGGGGGTTTGATTCCATGTTCTGACGCTCTTCCGTTACTCGCATAGTTTTATGTGTAATGCATAGATTTATAAGTCCTTGTATCTATTAGGTATATAGGTTTGTAGGTTCATAATTCTATGTTAAAGGTCTACAGGTCCATAGATCTAAGTCATAGGTTCATAGTTCTATAGATCCACAGGTCCACAGGCCTAAAGGTCCATGTTGTAGGTCCATAATTATTTAAATACATAGGTCCACAAACCTATAGAATCACAGATCTACAGTCCTATAGACTCATAAGTTCGTAGTTCTATAGATTCAGAGATCCACAGGCCTATAGATCTATAGGTCTATTCATAGATCATTAGGTCCTGAGGCCTATACATAGGTCCATGTCGTACATTCATAGGTCCATATAGGTCCATAGTGTCCATAGAATGTCCATACAATTATTTCCAGCTAACAGCTCTAAGAGCCAGTTGTACTAACCTAATATTCCTTAACATAGGACCATGTCCTGTATCAGTTGATCCAGATCTAACCTAGAACTTTCAAACATTTTAGCAACATTTTCACATTGACCCGAGAATTAGCACAGTGTATCAATGCGTCAATCAACCGCTCGTTCGACACTTTAACCGCCCCCGGACAAGATCATATAAAACTTTGCGCGGTAAATGGAAGTTACGAGGAGGTCCCGGGGGGGGCGCAGGGCCTCGCCTAATCCCCCAAGAAATCGCGTCCCGGCCGCCCCCCCCAGAGGCCCGTTGACAACCCGCCGGTCTAGGAGGCGATGGATAATTGATTCGGACACGTCGTCGCCGGTTCCAGTCGCGCCAAGTTTTTAACGGCGAAACTTCGGAAATTTTTAAAGATAAGTTCCCGGAATTCCCGTTCGAGGAATTGAATGTTTCGAATTCGATTTGTCGGAGCTTGTTTACTGTAACTTTATATAAAATCACTTCGTTATGAGAGTTGTAGTACCTTCTAAAATGGTTCAAGACAGTTCTGAATGATTCTGGAGCATTATAAATGACTATGGAGCGTTCTAAATGGTTCTAGATATGTAGTTCTAGAATTCTGTAGTTCTAGAAAGAGGAAACAATAATTTTTGTTGATTGGAGCGCCCTCAGTTTTCACCATACTCTCGTCGAGTAAAAAAGATTAAAATGAAGGTATATGCACCAAGTGCAGTGTTTGATGCACCGATGCACCGCGTGTTAATTTATTCCATACATCGCCCTGTATATGTAGTAAACTCGTTTTATAATAGAAATCTAACTTCTCGGGTCGTTTTGCTATAGTTCGACAAGAAAAAAGGATGCACGGTAGAGTAAACTCGACGATACGGATCGCTTAAATGTGGCTGAACAAAATACATGCCTACTTTGTAGCAGGCCGGATTGGATATGTTACTCGGCCAATTTTCTTTTGCGTTTCGTCTAATTGCGATTAAATTGCGGCACATTGCAGAAAATGCTTTTACTTTTCACTGCTCATTTTCTACACACTATAAGAATTTTATTGTCGTTATACACATCAGTGCAAATTTGTACGCAATATGGTCCAGTTCCAGGTAGTTCTAAATGATTGTGGACAATTCTAAATTGTTCTGTAGCATTTTAAATGGTTCTAGACAGTTCTAAATGATTTGGAACTTCTTATAAATGCAGCTTAGGAAGGAATCACAAATTTTTAAGCTCTCTGTATAATAAATGAAAAAAATCGTGTTGAAACTGCTACAAAAGTATGCCGATATTTTTTCCACACTCGCACACACTCACACGGGCGTTTATAACGAAAACTTCGGTATAATTTTCCTATTAGATAAATCATTTGTATTAGAATAAACGCGATAATATGTCGTCGGTTTACGAGCGGGGGTGGCTTGTAAGGAAAACGCTTTTAGCGGAATGAACTTTTCCGAATGCTTTCTCTCTCTGTCGATTTCGGGGTAATAAAAAGGATTCTTTTAATAAAATAGCGAAAGCGCCGTTTTTGTTGCGTTCCGAATTAAAAAGATGACGATAGTTTGCGAGAATATAAAAGAATTTAATCGGGACAGCCCGTAAAACGGATCATTGGGCTTTTATTGAATTGAAATTTGCGAACCTATAAAGCGAAATAATTCAAATTAAATTTATATCTGCAACCTTATAATATTTTACAAATCATCTAATAGCAATATGAATTTATTAAAAAAATATTAAATATCTAAGGAATTTAACACACCCTGTACACCAGCTTTATTTTGAATGCTCCATTGATAATAAGGAATCTTCTAGAGATTCTAGAACCATTTAGAATGCTTCAAAAACATTATTAAGAACTATCTATTCTACAATATACAATTCAAATGAAACGATTATTAATTTTCAAGTGAAACACAATAAAGGGAATCACTCTGTATACTTTTTCCATTTGTCATTATCGAATTAAACACAACCGGCGTCCAATTAAACGGCATATACAAAGTGTAACTTTTTAATTTGTCATTGTACGTTCGAAAATTATATCAAAAAAACATTAAAACTTCGTCTTCGAACGGCAGGAAGTAATTTAGGATCAGTCCCCGGAACTTTGCGACGTTTCCTCGTTAATCACTTTATATAATTATACAATAGATAATTTCATTATAAAGTTTTAACAGCAACACCGACTGCAATGCTAATGGGAGTACAATGAGGGGAGAAAAAGGAATATTTCACCTTTTTTATTTAAAGCTAACGTATTTTGTGGTCAGGAATAATCTCTAGAATAGATATGTCCTAAACCTCCTAGTTTTTGAGCTATAGGGTGTTACAGTTTTAGAATATTATAATTTTTTTATTACTTCGTATATTTTTATGAAATTTTGTACACACTTTTTAATTATCCAGGAGTCTATTATTATTCAGTCTAATATACTTTACTACAAAAATTTGTATCTACGTTCTCGTTTTATTAATTTTTTCTCACAAAATTTGATTGATGTTGACCCTTATAAATTATTTAAATTCGAGCATCCGCTAAATAAATTAAAAAAGATTTATGCGGGGTGGTTACTAGGAAGTTCTGGTCACTGGAAAAACTCTTTATTGGATACAGGGTGTTTGTAAAAATTGGGCAAAGTTAGACTTCAAAATTTTTTCTGTTTTATTGAAAACAAGGGAACTTCACCTAAACTACTTTTGGAGCTATTAAAAATGTTACATAAAACTTTCGCCTTACTCTTAATTCCCTCTGTTTTTGAATCTCTTTTTAGTATATATGAGTTGGGTTATTTCGTGGAAAAATCTGTTAACTTTTCCAGCACATCCTAATGATTTATCGCTTACAGAAAAAAAAATACTATTACAACATCACGAGCGAACACTGATACCCCATTATCCTCTTTGCGCCCTAATGACAAAATCGGACGTGTTATCCAAAGAGACCGCCGAAAAACAAACACTGATAGATATACTTTCATGCATCATTGTCATCAATTTTCTTTTGTGCGTCAATAACTGGTGTATTTTTGCCGGCGACATTCCCGATCAATCTTGCAGACATGAACATTCCGTACATTGACAGCGACAACCATCGAAATATGGATGTACTTATTGCGCGGAAAATGCGGTTTTCCCGGCCGGATTTTTGAATCTATACAGTGCTTTTCAACCAAACCGTCCAATTAGAAGTTATATAGGAGATCCCGAAGGGTTAGAAATCTGAATATTTAGGAATAAAGGGTAATTAATGTTGTGAATTTTTTAGATTTCTAACTCTTCATTATCTCCTATAACTTCTAATGGACGGTTTCTTTGAAAAGCACTGTATAACAATCCACCGCGTTTGTTGTGAGTTGTGAATTAGAAAAGCACACTAACCGACTCTGGAATGGCGCTTTTTGCAATTACTTCCGACGCGTTAAAGTTTCATTAGAAAAATAAAATAAAAATTACAGCTCTGCGTTAAATAAACCATACTTGCTGTAGCGTAAAACGCCAATTATTATTGCCTTTTTAGAGGTTAAAAACCTCGCTGTGGGTTATTTCGACCGTAAACACATGCAAATTTCGCTATATAATTTACGGAACACAACGTACTTGTAAGTGTTTCGAACGAAAAAAAGAGTGTTGCAAATTGCGGCTTAGGGTTTTCTTGTGCCGCGCAATTTTCCCGGAAAATTCCATTAAATCAAAGCCGCGATTGAAAATTAACTATCGCATGGAATTTGGCTAGAACCAGATAAAATCGTAACATTCAATTTCAAAAAAACCTATCAATTTTAAACCCCTTAAATGCAGAATTTTTCCTGTCTAGTATAGATCAATCTAGAACGCTCCAGAATCATTGAGAACTGTCTAGAACCATTTAGAATGCTACAGAACAATTTAAAATACTACAGAACTCTTATATAAGTTTCTTATTGAACTATTTTTAGTGCAAAAATTACACGTACCGCTCCCCAAAAACTATGCCAGTGCAATTTTTAAGCCCTTCGCTGGAATTCCCGATGGTTCCTTAAGAATCCGGAGAGCCGAGGGATTTTACAGCGCTCCAGAGAAGCAGCTGCGCCCTTCTCGGTATGCGAGCGATTAGTTCGAGGGTAATCCCGCGGAATAGTTCGGCGTAATGCACGAGGTATTCCGCCACTAAAGGCGTAATTGTTCCGGGGAAATTATCTACAATATTAACATCTCGTTTGTTTCTCTAACGCCGTATACGCGCCCGGCTCTAACCGATGCGCTATCCCGCCTCATAAATTCGATATATCATCGCGATGATGAAATGCCGCACTGTGTTCGCCTATTGAGTGTCTAGGTGCAATTAGTGCTTGATTAATTTTGAAGCGGAAGTGTACGGTTATCAATCAAAAATTAGTGTTTTATGAGACCGCAGAAATGGTGTAAATTCGAGCGTTTCCGCCAACATTTTAAAAATTCCGAGGTCGACGCCATTATTTAGATTGCAAACGAATTTTTAATGAATACATGGTTAATTATTCGGTTTTGGGTCAATAATGGACTCTATTGGGTGTATAATTGACTTTATTGAGTGGATATTATCTGGAGAATATAATGTATTAGATAGTACAATTAGCTGTATACAAATACAATTAATTACATTACAAATTACCTTCTCCATTAAATCGCAAAAAAAAACGAATACAAGTCAGCTTCGAGTTGAAAACTTTTCCTAAAGATACTATACAAGTCTGTTTGTAATTTATAAAACTAGTTCTAGCTATCGAGCGGAGTAAAACGAATTTCCCTGCGGGTGAGATTTATTCGAAAGAATCTGGAATTATGTTAAAAAGACTCCAGGTTGACTTATGGGTTTACTCTTAGTTTAAAAGTGCTAACATAAGACTTTCTTATTTTATTACCTCGCCGAATTTCCCGACTTATCCTTAACTGCGCCACTTTAATTTTATTACCCGTTCGGAGAAGGGAACGCGGTCGCTTCGAAACATATTAAAATTTCACCGAAAACTTGGCAAAAATTTAATCATAGACGAGTCTCTCATCGTTGAAATTAATTTAAACTTTCCATCGGACGGCCCGCGAAAAACTAATTAATTGCCTTGATGCATTTTTGAAGCGAAAAGGTACTACAGGACGAAAAATAAAGTAGACGAAGCGCGTCACTTTTTTTTATATAAATTTTCCGAGGATCTCGAAATACAAAGGCAATAAAAATCTTAATTTAAGAGGAAAGGGCCAGTGCGAAGAGACTCCACAACTCACCGGGCTAACGAGGAAAGTTGGCGGTCGGAAAACCGAAAAACCGCAAAAAAAAATCGCGAGAATAACTTCATTTTTCCGTCTTATGCAAATTTTAGGCGCGAACTTTAATTACGCCCGGACTCCGCGTAAATTCCGGAACACTACCGGAAACTTAAGCATAGGCTAGTCATTGTGATTATACCAAATTTCTACAGGGTGCGCTTTACATTTGTACCGAAAGTGGCCCTTTTTCTTACCAACCAAAGGGTTGTAAAGGGTCCCAATTATAAATAGGGTAGTCGGAGCGTATACACGAACCGACATCTTACGAATAATCTCGCAAGGATTTTTTTCCTCCCGATTCCTTCGGTCAGTTTCCGCAACGCCGGCAAAAACCCACTTTATATGTATTTGATAAAAGGATTATGAGAGGGATTTAAGTTTTTTTTTTCGGTTAGGGATCCGTGCAACTCGAAACACGACCAAACTTCAGCGTATTATGTTCGTTTTGCGGTTCACGGGACTTTTTGCGCTGCGCCGCCGTCGGTCCGACGGCGGCGAAAAGGTTTTTTTTCCTCCGGTCCTCACTCCTTAATCTGCCGGGGATTTAGCTATTGCGAGGATAACGGAAAATTGGCCGTTTCTTTTCCTATTTCGTCGTTGTTAATACGCCGTTTGATTTTCGATATTTTTAACCATCGTGCAATATTTACAATCTCATACTCCTTACTCTATATTCTTTACTACTCTTTGCTCTCTACTGCTCTGATTATACTCAACAGTAATTTTAATGATAATTTTTTGAGG